ATTGTCGCCGCGCGTCAAGTGTCGTATGTGGCGTGTTTTCAAACGCATTTCGCGCGATTCTTCGAAAATTAAGTCATTTTCGCCGTCGTTATCCTCGCGTGAAATAAATCATCATCCGAACGAGTGGCCTGGCTTTTGTGCTCGAGGACCGACTGAATTCTCGAAACTCGGAAAAAGAGGAGCAACGAACTGTATGGCCTTTCGTCAAAAGGCGAAGAAAAGGAGAGAGAACAGAAAAAAACGACGAAAGAATATTATAAGGGGGTAGAAGCGATAAATAACGTTTAACCGAATGAAAAATGAAGAAGCGAGAGAGAGAGAGACAGCTCGCTCGCGATCGTACGAAAAAGAAGAATAAGAAGGTGCAGAGGTTTCAAGCGTGAAGATTGGCCATCTGCCGGTGCAGGAATGCCGGCCAGTGCTTTTCTCGAAATCCGGCGCACGAGCGGCACACGAGACCTAATGATCTCCGATTTCCCGGTGAGTTAAGGGGGCACATCGTTGCGTCGTAAAAAAAAAAAGATCATGCGATTTCGTGAATGGACACTGTACCCGAGGGGACAGTTTCCTCTTTCTGTTCTGCGCGCGTACTTCGTCTTTTTTCCTTTCTCTCCGCGAAAAAAAAGAAGAAGAGGAGGGAACGGCCGGTTTTTCGAAAAAAAAAAGAAAAAAACATGCGTGTATAATGCGTCAGTGGTCAGCTTTTTTCTCAGTATATATGCGCGGACATCGGGACTCTGCGCTAACGATTGGCTTGCAAAGGCCACATTTTCTTGTCTAAGAAACTGTTGAATTTTCCGAACGCACCGCTTTCATAAACTTAATTTGACTCCGTTAAAGCGATACGGAGTCCCGGCTAATTAACTGATTCTCTTACACGTTTACTTGAAAATTAAAAACTTCAATTGGAATTTAGAATAATTCTTTTTAGCGAACGTTTAGTTTGAATTTCGCGGTCAAGTTTCTTCGTTTTACGAGTATAAATTTAACACTTAGCAACATGCAAATACTCGCAGAATACTTCATTCATGACTTTTTGAATAAAAGTTGCCTTATTAAAATCATTTCACAGTGAACTTTTTACGTTCAAATCCCATCGTATCGAAACCGGAAATTCTGAAATCGCTGAAAATTGTTGAATCATATAGTTAATTAACACGTCGACTTCTTAATTAAAACGTCTCACTGGCAAGGTCGCGGCGAAGAAAAACCGAGGAAAAAACCGCGAAAAATCGTTAAGATCTCTCACTCGCAACCGACGCGCTGGTGGTCCATAGATGGATCGTTGTTCGGCCAACTGCCCCGAAAACACGTCCAGGCGATTTGCACAGCGACGCGTGAAAACGGGCAATAATTAATGATGTCCTCGAGGGACGCGTGCATCGAAAAAGGAGGACCAGGCTGTTCCACCCGTTTCGGACTTTTGTCGTAAAAGGTCTCTTTCGCGGGCTTAATTGATGATCCGAGCAAACGTCAGCTTTCCCATGAGGACACCATTCTCTCTCTCACTCTCGTGCACAAGCCTTTCATTGTTGCGCGTAAACGATCTCGAAAAGCTCTAGGAAAAATCCAGCGATTGTCCGATTCTCAATATTTGCAGGCCCTGCGTGTGGCCGCGAGTAAAGGTGTAAGGGTGATACTGCGGAGAGAACATGTGTTCCGATTCAACGATCGCCGTTGGTGGTGTGTAGGTATTTACTTTCTTTGTATCTTGATCCATTAATAAAACTCACAGATGAATGTCTCCTTTGCAACACGAATTTTTGAGAAATCCATGTCAAAAATCTTGGCCGAACATAACCCCCGTCTTCTGCTTCTTCTTCTGTTATTTTTCATTGTTTTATAGAAATTCAGCAATGACTGTAACTACCAAACACTTCAAAAAAGGGCAGTTTTTTCAACATCTTCATCAACGCGTGTCGGAGTATTCCGACAAGAAGGGTTTAGGTCGCTCGTGACGAATCGATACAAGTGGACCCTCCAGATCGTCGCCCGTGGCAAATAGCCGTCGCATCTGTGGAAAAGTCGATTCATCATCGTCGTCGTTATTGCAATTATTCGAGGCTCCCGAAAGCGAAAATTCCTCTCGATGATCGAGGGGCCACCTTTTTCTCTTTTCGCGCAAACTCTTTCAATTCCCTCTCGACAATTTCACGCCTTATTCGAACAAGACAAGCTCACCGAAGGCCTTTTTATTCTATACGCGGCTTTCGAAAATGCTCCATTCGCTTCGAATTTCACGCTGGAAATTCGCTGATTGACTCGTCCGAAGCGCCGCAATTTTTTCAGCTCCAACTTGCCGTTCAAAGATGTAAGTGCATGCTTGCCGGCGAAGTATATAATTGCTGCTGGCAGAAAGATAAGGAAAAAAATAGGGAATAAGTCTGTGCGCGTAGGAGGGAAAAGAAGCCCCGCAGCCATCGGTCGAGAAATATCAAAGGTCTTAACTCTGCCGTCAAGGAAATTGAAAGGTCTTTGTGAGAGTGTAATCAGAAGACGCGCGTCGGGCTGCTACGGCGTCCGCGCAAGTTTACTGCTCGATGCGCACCGGCAATTCTTTATTTCCCATGCGCGAAAGCGTACGGCATCGATCGGCATCGATTACTCGTAAACGCGACGACCGATACGCTCTCGCAGATGCAATCGGACGCTACTTCGCGTCGCCGCGAGCCGTACAATTCAATCGCCACGCGTAAATCTCGGAAAATTCTATTGGTCTGGCAGCTCGCTGCACAAAGCAACACTTTGTACTTGGCTGAACGCTTATGCCTACGCACAATGCTCGTCCACTGCGATGGGAAAAAAAGAGCCTTCGCCACCTTGCGCCGTGACGACGATTTAATCTCGTTAAACCAGCCCACCGGGAATCTCGATACAACCCTTGTGCGCTTCGGATCCGCGCACCTGAAAAGGGTTTTTCTTCGGCGGCTCATTCATAACGGCACGCGTTGCGGTACGCCACTCGGAAGATCGACCGGAAGCGATTGCCTGCTGCCGTGGATGCAAGTGCTGCGGGTATTAACGTCAATTACATGGAATTCGAAAGATCCGGCGATTTCTGTGTTTCGCTGCGCAGAAATGTTCAGCCTCCAGCCGAATGCTGATTGGATCGAAACGTTTTTCATCTGTTTCAGTGTCCAACGACAGAGCAGTATTTTTTTCCGATCAATTCGCGTCAATATTAATCAGTGAAGCAACTTTCGCAATTCAAAAGCTAAGATTTTTGAGACTTTTGTAGCATTTAAAAACAGTTCCAGTTTCGCACTACATTTGTCATACGAAATGTATCAGCTCTGCATAATGTGATAAACTGTAAGTCGAATACGGAAAATCCATTGTGTGCATAAATATAATTTTTATTAGAATTAGAAAGTCAAATTAAAAAACAACCTCACTACTGACATCTTTCGGTTGAACTGAGAAAATGGATCCGCCTTTTCGTTGAGGTGTACGGTAACTCGGGTAGAACATTCTTCTGTTACTATTACCGGCTGGCTACACCAAAATCATATAAAATATTTTGCAAAGTTTTACTCGTATCGTTTTTCATCTGTGGCATATTAATGATTAGTTCATGATTTATTCGATAACATTTAAGTTTATAACAAGTTAAACACAATGAATTACTTATTTATATCAAATCAGATTTTCTTGGCTGAAATTTAAAAAAATCCGTGCTCAAGTGGTGCATTTATTATTTACCAAAAATTATTGAAATAGCATTTAACATTTTTAATTGCTTATTGGGATCGCTATCATGAAAGGATTACTTGCGTGTACGCGCTTGAGTTGAAAAAAAATCGCATCTACTAAGCAGGAACCTCAAGTGCAAACTGGAAGTATTTCACGACTTCGTCAAGAAAACACACAACATAGAGAAAATCATTGTCTTCCACGAGTATCAATAACTACTTGGAATAGGGTTTTGCTTACTAGCCAATTTTCCATTATCTTCATATCTACGTGAGAATTGCACAAGCAATTTATTGCATTTGAAATCATCTATTATGTCAGTCGAGCACCAAATCGAGACATATGAATTTGCATCTTCTAAAGATATTACATATAAAATATATAATTGGTAAGTACATTTAATGACGTTTGATCTAGTCAGAACTTTCTTCAAGATTCAAATGGCGCAGCAATTCTCGACGAAAAATTAATCGGAACATTCTCTACTGGTCCTGTATTGGCTTATAAGGCTTCGTTGATAATCAAACTAAAGACCATATTATTTATTATTATTTAATCACTGTATTTGATCCTAAATAAATGGCTTATCTTTACTATGGTGAGTAAAATTTCACAGCTCCGATTATTTCAAGTATTCAATTCTTTCAAATAGAAAACCAATAAATTTTAATTACTGATATCACAAATCTATAATCATCAAAGAGTATAATAAAATGGGGTAATTGTAAATTTTGCTATAGTTTATATTTGAAATACAGAATACGAGGTCTGCCCCAAAAGTATCCGACCTACGTTCACATCTTCGCGCGGAGACTCAGGCGACCTCTGGAGGGTACGAACATCACCACTATCACCAGTAATTCCTAACCTTCTCATCAGTAATCCGAGTGTTCGAGATACCGATGAAGCGCTTTAGTTCTCGCACAATGTGTATTTGTTTACAACAACTTTTTTGTATTCGTCGCAATTCGTTTATTGTTAAGAATGGCAAAATGAACCGAACAACGAATTTGCATAAAATTTTGCCTTAATTTCCGTGAAAGTTATGCAGAAACTATTGAAATATTGCAAAAGGCCTTTAAAAATGAGTGTATGGGCAAAACAAATAAGAGTGGTATACGCGGTTTAAAAGTGGCCACACATCTGTTGACAGTAATCCTCGTTTTGGTCGACCTTTGACAGGAACATCGTTGAATAATGTCGAACGTATGTTACTTCAGAGTCTAGATTTCTCTTGCGTAAAAAATGTCGAGATTTTTTTTGCGGAAACAGAAATTTATTGGTATAAAACAGAAAAGAGGAACACTCAGTTCTTCATAGAAAGTATTAAATTTATTTTTTCATTCAATTATGCCGACAATAAAAATGACGTATTTGATCATTTTAATATCATAATAGCGCAGTCAATATGAAGCACATAACAATATTAATGACAATAAAAATTAAAATAATAATAATAAACGTAATAAGTATAATAAAGACATCAAATTATATTAACGATAAGTTTGTATAATTGACAAAATTAGATGATTACAATCATTGAATATTTATAATAATACATACATACTGCTTGCTTAATGTAAAGGTTACATTGCTGAATTCGCGAGAACATTTCGGTATCTTAGCGTGTATACTTGCAGGTAATGTATTTTTTGAAATAATGTTAAGATTATAAGTGAGAAATATCGTTATTTTTGGACTTAAAATCGCAGCCTTACTATTAAACTATCAATTATACCGCTACAGCAGTGAAAAATTTATTAATAACTCTATGTACATGTATATTGATAATAAATTCGTAAAAAAATCAATTCACTATGAATAAATAAATCGTATCCAAACTTGCACAATTGATCATACCAGTTTGATTTCTGGCTTGGTAGCAAGCATTTTCTTTTGTATAAATCACAATGATATCATTTAATAAGCAACGCAGTAGCTTGTGTATAAAACGCGAAAGATTTCGTGTAAAAAAACTACATGTTTGAAAATATTATTCTTGTCATTTCGTGTAGTTATTTGTTAATTTTTTTCTTTTTTCTTTCTTTTTCTTTTTTTTTTGCATCTCAGTAATTGTGCGCATCGTTTGAACACGTGAAATAAACCACCGGACGTAGATCAACTATAAATTCTCTCACCACAGCCTTAGTACAAAACAGACATTATCATCTGTTGCACGATTATTCATCGAATACCGCCCAGCGGAAACCATTCGATGATTTCCTTCGTTAAATCTATCCGACTAAGTGGCAAGCGGATACCACCCAGAAATTCGTTCTCTTGTAGAGTGTCATGGTTCCATATTGTCGCTTCCAAAGTCCTTTCTTTAATCACTCCAATAGGCATTCGATACTCCAACTGTAATGATACAGGATAATTTTTATTTTTGAAAGCATTTGATATTCTCAGATAAATTTGCAAATTCTTCACGGACCATTTCCATAAATGACGGATGGCAATTCTTCTTAACAACTTTTGTCTTCCGCTTCGTTGCTTTTGTTGGATCTGGCTTTAAATAGACTTTTACATAGGTGTTGGGCTCCTGAGCATTAGCCACTTTTGGTAATCCTCGCGCATGATAAACCATAACGCAAAATGTTCCACGGGTGTAATTGAGGGATAATTTTATTTGACCACCTTGGGCTTTTTCTCTGACTTTCTTCTCAGCCCACCAATTACCAACTGAAAATAAATAGGAAATATGTTAGTATTTACTTATGTTTTCTGTATTATGAATTTCGAATAAATGTCTTACCTTTAACTTTGCGAAGATGTATATCAGCATTCTGTTGATCACGTAAAAGTGGATGGAAAAAGGTGTACACAAGATCGCTTTGCGAAATTTCTGGAGCCATTTCAAATAGGCTCTGTAAAAATTTTTCAATATCGGCACGTCTTTTGTCCGCAACTTGCTTGATATTCGATCGTCCGACACTCATTCCACTAGGCAACCTAGAAGTCATTATTCCGTAATAAGGTCACAAACGTTACGTTTAAAATTGCTATTGTTAACGAAAAACAAAACCTCAGAATTGATTCAAGTGTATTTTTCTGAAAGATACGCGAGATAAGATATTTCTATCTGATTAGATAAAAAGAAATCAAGAAATCACGGGACGAAATACACACATTTGCTTATTGTTCATTATTATTCACATAATGTGACTCGCAGTAAAAAAGCTTCTTGGGATGTTAGTTATCAGTGTACTGGATTACTTTCGAGAGTTACATTATAAAAGTAGTGCGAGTTGCATCGCGTCTGATCAAGTTTTCTCAAAAGTAAACGCCAAGTAGCTTAAATGTAGATTGCTTTATTGAAATTATCATTTTCTTGAACTACATAACAAGTGCAAGAAGGTATTTTCAAATAACATTTGTTTACTAGGTAACAGCAAGAAATGGGTTTATCCTGTGGCAAAGAGACATTTGAGGTTGACAAAAACACAAATTTCAAATCGACAAATGACGGACAATACAGGACGTTCGAGAATTTGAGTCACTGGACTAGAGAAAAAAATGGCTATAAACAATCGGACACTGGAAAAAATAGTCCGGAGGATAGATCGATCGGTTCAAGCGCAACAATACCAGTATTGGAAAATGTCGAGCCTAAAGGTACACCGTCAATTAGCCAAATATTGAAAAGCCAAGTGTTAGATATAGAAGATGAAAATGCCATACATGAAATACGAAGCAAAGTATAAGTAAATCAATGTTATTTTTATATTTTTATAATTCGTTAATAAAGATGTCTCCGTTGTTAAGAGAATAATTTTTTATATAACATTATCTTCAACGGTGGTCGAAAGTAATATTGCGATCAATGCGTCGTCGTCCAAAAATTTATTAAAATTACGTAAAATATTCATTGAAATAGTAATCGTACAATAAAATTAAACTTACCCAGTAACTTTTGCAAGAGGAAAATGTATGCACAATTTTTGATAGAATTCGCAGAATTCTTTGTAAGATCTGAATAAGTAGGTGGGATCCGTCTGGCTTTTCCTTTGAATTTTTAAAATGTACATATAATACTTCTCTGGGTCGTATCTCTTTTGGTAACCGTGAACTTGTACACTCGTTAATTGACCCTCTTGTTGCATTCTGTAAACAAATTTCGCTGGTTAATTAATCATTATGAAAAGTTGTTTCTGTTACATAAGTAAGAAAGTTAATAAAATAAAAACACCTTAACATGAAAAGGTATTACTTGTGCTTTAGTTATTCGAGTAAATATCAGTCTTGATTTACAAAATTTAAGGTTTAAAACTGATTTACACGTGCAAACAACAAATCAGTTCTGAATGACATGACTTAGACATCAAACACAACATTACTTCTGAATCAAACAAAAATGTAAGTTTTCGTTATAAAATAAGAAACTCACGTGTAAGTCTTGGGAATGAAGGACAATAGCTCTCCATCGTTATGTTCTCCGCTGAACCTTAATTGAGCAAGATTGTGTAAAAAGAAGTTGAATTGCGTGAACCAGCTCTTTAGCGAGCTCTCGATCATTCTGGCGAAGGTCGCCGCAGCCTCAGGATTCGTTTGTCCTGGTAGCAGGGCTCGTTGGACATAACTCACTGCATCCATTGTCACTCCAGGTATACCCGAGGAAGTCATCTGCGAAACACACGTATAACCGTTTATTCGCACTCGTGTTGGTCGCTCGAGATCTAATCTTTTTTGCGTAAACGTTCTCGACGGCGATGCCATTGTTATTCAACAAAATTATTTTATTCTAGCTCTCTCTTTGCGCTGGGTTTTCCCTTTGTTCTCGAATGAACGTGCGGGGGTAAATGATAACGGCGTTGAATGGAACAGTGATTACCTCGGGCGACGAGATAAAAAAGAAATCAGGCATGATAAAAGAGTTTCCGTTTCTGCAACCGAGCGACTTATTCATCGACGGACAGTGGCGTATTGTTTTGAATACGCTATCTCTTATAAATATAGTTCTTATAAATAATATCGAATTCGAAGAATAATACTCACCAATCCGAAAAGATGCAAAATTAAGTTTCCATGTTTTCTAACAATATTAAATGCCTGGCAGCATAATTCAACAAAGTGATGGAATTTCGCCGATGGTTTGTCTCCACCGTTAATTACATAGGCCATATCCGAAGTCAATACAAATGGTGTACGATCTCTGTAAAAATAAAAATAGATAATTAAAAAATTATTACTATCATTCAAGAGACGTTAAATCTATCAAACTTACCTTTTGAAATTACCAAACATCTGTGCATCTCCCAAAAATTTCCCAAAATCAATGTGAAATAAGTGTCCAGAAGTTTTAAGCATAATGTTATCGTTGTGCCTATCACAAATACCCAAAATATAAGTAGCTACGCTGTAACCCGCACATGAAGCGGTGAAATTTTCTACGGCGCGTTGGTATTCTAACTCCGAAGGATTGTGTTTAGCCAACCATTCAGCAATTGGACGATCCTTGAAAGAACCAGTGAGACCGAACTCTACTTGAATTTTCCTCAAAGTCTCAGCATTGGTAACCATTTCGATCATTCCACGTTTATGACCAGTTGGTACGCACGCAAAGGCAACCATTTTTAAGTCGAGGCCTTCCTTCAGCCAAAGTTTATCCATTATTCGGACCATTTGTAGAGTCAACATGTCTTGTTGCAAGTCATCGCCGACCTAAAATAATATTAAAAATTGCTAGTTAAAAATGTACGTATGCATAAGATTTATTTGATTTACCTTGAAAATTGCAGGACTAATAACATTATCGCACCCGACAAAGTTAATCTTAAGTGGTAATGTAAAAGACGGAAAATAGGAACAAGTTTGAACATTAATCCCAACGACTTGTCGACTAAGAGACAATGGCAGGCATGTTCCCTCATCCTCAACCAATGAACTGTTAATGTTTTGCAATCCAAGCTTTAATGTTTCAAGTCTTAAAGATTCTTTGGTCGTCTTTATATTCTCCGCTACTTCGTGTAAATTCTGCGAGATCAAAATCAATCAGATTAAAACAAGTAACTAGGTTTGACGCGCTACAAAGAAATTGAAATTACTGTTCGTACTTACTTTAACAAGGAATTGTTGCGCAAGGAAGCTATTTCGCAGAGCATCGCCAATAACCGCTAGTAAGGCACGAAGCATTAATTGTAATCTGCGATGGTACCGTGCGAAGCTCAAGCTTTTGTCATCTTGCAATGAAGTTTCTGCAGAGTTCTATAAAGAAAGAAAAAACGTTTGATTAGCTCTGAAAAAAGGAGAGAATTTAGTGGTAAACAGTTACATTTAGCTTACTTGAGGGCTTTGACCGGGTAACGCTTGATTCAATAACCAATAAATATAATGGGCAACGCGGGGCGAAATTAATGCTCTTTCCAATAAAAATCGAGCGAGCGGCGAAGCTTCGTACGTTTCATGTTTCAGTGCTTGTAGTAATTGAGGCAAATAATCAATTAACTCGTCGTTTGTGAGCTCTCTTATGCGCTCCACTGCCAATTCTCGAACTTTCGTATCCGGGAAACTGTAATTTACGGTATTTTACATTTCGAATATACTGGCTAATTATGTTAATAAGACCAATGGATAAAATTAAAGACGATCGTCTCACCATGGTAATAACAACTGAAGGGCTTGGACGGACGGAAGTGGACTCCAAACACGCAACGAAGCATGTAAATCGGGTAGACAGGCCCAGTCCCAACTATGAGCCGCAAGGAGAACTTTTGGTAGGGCCTCAGGCTTTTCATGTAAATAATGCCTCTTTTCCCACAAAATTTCTCGCTCATCCACTGGCGGTCTAACGGAAAAAAAATGAAATTTAATTAAAAATTTATTACCAACAACAAAATTATTACCAAATAGTTGTCTGCATACCTTGAGAAAGTATCTTGTTCTGTAATATATAAAAGCAATTCCTGAGTATTTTGATCCAAGGAATTAAAATCAAGAGATTCAATATCGTGATCTCGCAACTCTGTAGGGAATAGTACTTTCCCACCGTAATCCGGCAATTCCAAACCGATTATTGGATGTGTATTACCGTGCGGATGGATTCCGGGCGCAGGCGCAGGACCTAATCTCTTATCCGCTATGGCTGGCCATAATGATAGAAAAAAGCTTCCCTGGCTCATGACACTGAAACAAAACACAATTGTAAATTAAATAACTAATGGCAAAATATTGTCGGGTACTTTTTATTGTAAACAGTATTTTAATAGGGTTACCCGTCGTAATCAAAGAACTGAATAGCTCCCCAACCTAGTTCTTCTTTCTCCATGAATCCCTGACTCGAATTCGACTCGTGATTTTCATCGGTCTGCTGAGTCCTACCGTAAAGAACGAGCACTAATCTCGCTTCTCGTGGGACTTGGCATACACTCACGCCTCGAAATTCTAACCTTCAATTATCCAATAAAATTGAAATTAGCCGACCTACTTATCTACGCAGATTTCACTTGAATTTCCAAGTGAATCTTACCAAGAATTAAATAGAATTCTAGGGTAAAAGTTCGACTGTCCAACAGTCATAGGCTCGGATAGCACAGGATTGCCAACAGGACGTGTGCCGTGAAAAATTTGTGCGGCGACAATGTAGTCGTCATGCTTCCATGAGCTTGGTAATCTGTGTAATGCTCCAACTCTTACTAAAACCGTGTCTATTACCTGCGACGAAACTAAGCTATCTGCAAAGAAAAAACAACATAAAAATTTCACTTTACAGTTTTTAATTTAAACATAATACATAATAGTTTTAAAGAAAGCAAAATGCACTTACTCGTAGGATTTTCGCCTCGACTGTTGAGTTGAAAATCGACGCAGAAGGCGTGACAAAACGTCTCCACGAGATCTTGCACAGCATCTCGGATTTTATTGCAATGTGACGAAATTACGTCCGGAAATTTTGTTCTCAACGTCACAACGGAATAGTCACCATCTTCGTGCAAAATCTCCGGCTTTTTACACTCAATATTGGCAGTATGCACTTGCGGTAAGAATTTGCAGCAAGCGTTTACGAAATTGTCGACTGCCTCAGATATTTCGTACGTCTCAACGTTACCCATCAGCGCACAGACTGCTTTTACAGCTTGCACTACACCTCGTGGTTGTAGTTGGCCCAGGAGGCTCTGTCCGTTGTTTGAAATGGCTAATTGTGCTGCTGTAGTTTCGACGCGCTCCATTTCCTTCTCAACCGTTTCTACGAATAACCATGAGAACTTTACAGTATTCACTTAAAAATGTTAACATTGATTTTTTTTTAATTGTACCTAGTAAAATGAGAAGGGTATCATAAGAAATGGGCTGAAGCGGCTCGTTCGGAAGAATATCTTCGAGTTTTAGGCACTGTTCTCGATTATCATCAAGTACCTGATTAATCGCGAAAAATATTTATCTATAATCTTGAAATAAATACCGATTAATTGAATAATCAATACGTACGCTTCGAGCAATAGATCTTTTCATTTGGGCTTTAGTTTCAATGGCAAGTTCAATATCCTTTTCTAATTTAATGCATTGATGAACATACTCGTACTGCGCAAGACTAGTATTTGCAGCCAAATATTCAGCCAAACCCCAGACTCGAAGACAGTACTTATCGACATTAACAGTATCTTCGTCTTCTAATGAGCAAGCAACGTTGAGAATTACATGTTCTATGTTGCAATTCACTGAAAAAAATGTGCACGTGAATTTTTGATTGATTGATATTAATAAGTTGTTATAAACCGATTTTACCGTCACAGGTAAATGATATAGACGGTGATCTGTCTTTAGTATCACTTAACATTTTAGAATGTACTACTAATTTAATGCTTGTGCTATCTGGATATGAACTATCAATCATAGGGCTGACCACGTGGCCTATATTTGTACTTGGATCATTAAATGGAAATTCCCCTGTAATATTACATCCAGTTAAGCAATCAAAACGCGATAAAAAATTTATATTCCACTGAAATCACATATTTAATGCATACCTCTGACTGATTTGACCATCTTATGGAATGCCAATAGATCGCAATCGTGTAGAGACGCACGGGCTTTCACAACATTTACATTTTCATACAAACGTGTTTGTCGTTTTTGCTGAAAATGCAAATAACAAAGTTAAATCAACTTTTTTTTTTATCACAGATAAAACAAGTTTTTTGTTGCTTAAAAGTCAATTTACCCGTCTGTCTAATGACGTTCGTCTTCTCTCAATGGTATTCCATGCGGATGAATTTCTAGGAGGAAGTGGAGGAGGCGCAGCTGGAGAAGTTGCTGGCGACTTCATGGATTTATCAACAGCGGCATACACTGGGTCTGAATTGACTGTTTCACTTGTACTGTACATATAATCGAACGGATCGAACGGATCGTAGACAGATCGCTCCATTGCTGATTGAGTATCTAAAAAATAGATTAGTTAACAATGAAATTGTTACGGGTCTAAATGAATTTATTGATTATTTGAGGTTTAAGCTGTTCAATCGAGACGATTGAAATACGAAACGTTTCAATCTAAATTCAAGACACAACCAAATCAAACGATCAATAAATATCAATTTTCGCATCGATTATCATGAGTGTATGAAGTCTGATCCACGATAACGAGCGTAAAAATAAAAATCAATGAATGCGTTTAGTCACCATCGTCAGAATCCTTGGCGCTCCTCGACGGCTCATCAGGTTTACTGGGAGAGACCTTGGTAAGGAGAGGATCAAAAGCCTCGAGTACGCTCACTCGAACATTGCCCTTGTCCTCGACACGTTTATGATCATAAACGCAAAGATCGATAAGATTATTATTAGGTTTCTTTTCGACGACTTTTAATACACTCAAATGCGAATCATCAGCAGCGTAAGGCGACTGCCGAAGATTATTTAATGCAGGTGGTGGTGGTGGTGGAGCGATTGCCGGTCTATAATTCACTGGCAACGGCGGTATCTGCGAATTAAACGACCACTACGATAATCGTATGCGGCGATAATTTTCAAATTTTAATTAAAATTAGAAAATAACGAAACAAGTAGAAGAAAACTAGAAAAAATTTTAGTAGTATTTTCGACAACGTACTGGCAGTCTGCAGCGCTTGACATGAAAAAATTTGCAAAATAATAAAGGCAAAAAAAAGAAAAACACGTAAAATACAATAAATATTAAAAAATACGATGATGATTTATGAATCGTTATTACGGCAAACTCCTAGCAGCTATAAATATGCATAATGTCGTTAAAATACCTGGAGAATGTAAGTTCTAAATATATAACGATTCCAGGTAAGCTGGAATTTTCGAAAATATTTCTATTACATAGCTGTTATTTCATAAAGATTGTCTCATAGTAGATCAAATTAAAGAGCAAAAAAGTAGTGTAACTTTTACCTGTGGAATTATATCGGGAATATTATTACAAATACTTCCAGATCTGGATGAAACGGGACTGATGCTAGGCGTGCCTGGAGTAGAAGGAGCTGTTGAGCATTTTGGTCCTGGGATTGGAGCTGTTGCCATGTTATATCTAAAATCTGTTGTTTGATATGCTGCAGCTGAACTATTACTTCTTGAAACACGTGAATTTTTCCTCATTAATCCTGGATGGTTGTCCCATTTTGGTTCTATTATAGTTTTTCTGAAATATAAATGAGCCTATCAATAAAGACTTCAAAATCACCAGGTTAAACATAAGATATTTATTCTACTTACGGAGGTAACATTGGAGGAGCACTACAATATTCTGACAAGCTATCTTGCTTTACAGGACTTGTGAAATTGATCAAATCAGCTGCAGGTTTTTTGTTTGTTGTTGAGTTCCTTCTACTTGGGATAGGAGGAGGCTGGATATGTACAATCATTCCATTTCTAGACTGGTTTGAATTACTTTCAGGCCTAGGCCTACTCCTCAACTGGAATTTACTATAAACAAGAAAATATAATTATCTCTGATCACTTCTAATACTCATATGTATATAACATTTCTTAATCAACCTACTTTTCGGTAGAAGAGCCATTAGTCTCTGTTGTCTTACAATTAGAAATACTAGAACTCGAGCTCTGAATGTTGAAGCTCTCCTGTGTACAGTTGTTCCCATACTGAGCTTGTTGCTTCTGCTGCCTAAACTTTTCCAAAGCCAAACTTTCTAAACTTAGGGCTTGTGCTCGCTCTAAGTCTTCCTTGAATTGGCGGTCATAGTCAATCACAGCTGCTGTTTTCTGAACAGTGGCATTCCTATTGAAGCTTGACATCTGTAATAAGTTATAGAAAAAATGCAATGACATTATGCAATGTTTGTTTTGAGAGAAAAGATTTTCCTATAGATCACTTTATTTGTTATAAATTTCGTTATAGGAAAAGCGAAAAATAGATTTTTTACTCATGTGTAACAGAACAAATTGCACACGGTATCCTATTGCAAAATAAAAAATATAAAGCTTCGTTTCAATCGACAAAAAAATGACTATGTTGAAGAGCAACATCGTAGCAGACTGAGCTTGGGTATCAAGTATCTCTCAACGAGTTCAAATTGACACCCATTAAAAGCCCAAGCGAAAACAATAAAAAATTATGCAACGATTAGGCTCAGTCCGCGGAGAGCGCGCGCGGCGCATCGTGCTGCTGCACGGTACACCGATCCACTTAACGAGCTTTGCTCTCTGGGAACAAAGCGGTTTATATACATAGAATTCTTCGATCGGGATCGTAATTAAAAGAGCACTCAGCTGAGAATACAGAGTACTGCCGTTATACGCGCGCGTACGCTTGCGGATGACGCGCAGATAGAACGAAGCAGGGATCTTCGTCCAAAAAAGGAAACTTTCCTCTCACTCACGGAGCTCGAAACTCTGTACTGATCTACCTCGCCATCACACATACTCGCGGCACCTCGTTGTTGTTTACATTTCACCGCATGCAGAGGCACATGAGCATTTCATCAAGGAAACGATCTCAAACCGAGGATGCACTTACCCTGGCATTATTGCCGGGGAATTGCCCGGTTTGAGCTCGTGCACGAAAAACTCGGACGAGCCTCGTCAACTATTCTGTAACAGCAACAGACAGACGTGACATCCTCCTTCCTTGATTCACAGTTTGCTTCGCTGTTGCCGCTGCTACTACTACACTGCTTAATGCCAGAACTGCTGCTGCTTGCTGCACTGTCAGATATATCCACAGCAGCTGGCGGTGCGACTCTCACCCATCCAATACACTGACGCACACTACGATTCAAGTTTGTAGCCAACCACATATCTGTATATATATATATATATATATATATATATATATATATATATATATATATATATATATATATATATATATATATATATATATATATATGTAAGTAAGACGCTTTTGTAAAAGTAAGAGTAGCAGCTGCACAGCGAAGTCGGCTGCGAGTCTGACTCATTGTATTCTTCGAGAGATTGCAACATGGCTTTGTTTGGATTTGAATTTCGGAGTTCGGAGCAACAGCTGCCACTCGGATAAACGAAACGTCACTCAAGGATTTTCATTCGTGGTCGAATTTTAATCTTTCATATTTGTGTAGTAGACGACGTTAGACGAAGATCAATCTTATGATTAGATGATAAATAAATAATGAACGTGGTAAATATTCTAGCGAAAGTTTAAAATAGACTATATTTTCGTCGCATGACCTTAAAGAAAATGTTTTTGTTTTAAAATGTATTCTGATCACCTATAATAGGAATTCTGTCTGTTTCATTTACATGTTTATGTCTTAACCACAATTCATATAAAAAATACTCGCAAACACGTCTACAAAATTCATGGATAGATGAATCAGAAATGATTAATAATCATTTATCATGATGACACTTATACACATACAATTATATACTATACTTCTATTTTGGAACTTTTATTATTTCATTATGAAAGTGAAGATAAAGATATGGCTATTTAAATTTAATATATATTACTCGAATATTATTTTCTGACCAGTGAAGTTCAAAATTCGAATTATTTTCGATAATTTAGCATCGATGACACCAAGCGAGCTTAGGTCAGTCTTATTTTGGCAAGTTTTACTCTCGTAACTTGCCAGAAAAAATCTATTTGATGCCATCGATACTCATTCGTCGAAAATAATTCTCATTTTGAATTTCGCGGGTTGTGAATTCTATCTGGGTGAAATATTTTACATTTTCCTATCTTACCAACTATGAATAGTTTCTGCAATTGCAGATTCCTTTGTCACAGAGATGCTCTTGGCGCTGCTATCAGTATATATTTAAATGATCATTTTTTTGTTTTTATTCAATACTGAAATTGGACTTTAAAATGTGAAAATCGTTCATGTTTCTAATTAGCCAAATTATTTACAATTAAATAAGAATTGAAATATATTGTTTTGATCGATATACATCCAAGCTTCCTATGTTAACATCGGTAAATAGAAAAATATACTATCATGATAAGCTTGTGCTAATCCATAAATTACCGCCCTCTATAACCGAATAATTAATATTTTTTCTAAATTACTGATGAAACTTTCATAAATACACATTTCATCAGTGATTGTTGTTCAGTTCGAAAATGTGATATGTTACCGCATTATATCGTAAAAAATTGCTTCTATCTATAAAACCGTAATTTTGAAATACTTATACACTTTAACTCGTTTAACATAACAAACGTACTGCCTAATATTTCCTCCGTGAGCATCGACAGTTAACTAATCGCAGAGCGACCCCCCCTCCCCCTAAAAAAAGGACGTAAGTGGTGGGGTGGAATGCCGTGTCGACAGGGGTGCGCACTATACATATGTCTACAAAGCATCTCACCGACAGAAAGAGAGAGAGTGTGAGAGTGAGAAAGAGATAGACATATAGAGAGCATAGCAGCGGCCATTTTGATGTACGATCGCACGTCAAGCGGCCAAGCACTAGGCAGGCCAGAGTGGTAGGCAGAGTAGCGAGTGGCAGCAGCAGCAGCAGCGTTAGCTAGCGTTAGCATATAGCAGCAGCGGCGGCAGCGGAGTAGCTCTCTCCGTCTCCCCCCGCTGCACTACTCTGTTGGTGTCTGTGCAGTAGCTTGGGTCGCGTAACGTTCACCCCCGCGTGTGCGCGCGCGATCCGAGTCTCCCTCTCTCCCCCCTTCGTGGTTGGGAGCGCGCGCTCTTGGCTCGTCGCACGGCTTATCAGCAGGAGTAGCAGCAGCAACCGCGCGCCGCAGGAGCTAATCTCTCAGGAGCCAGGACGCCTCAGCTAACCTCGAACAAGGTCGTCGCCGTAGCTGCACTTGGCTGCAGCTTGACGTCGAAGCAAGCCAGGCATAGGCTCACTTGGCGTGGTGTTTCTCTCTGCGTGTATACTCTCAGAGCAGTGTGTTGAAGCAGCGGCGCTGCGCTCGCCGGAAAGAGAGAAAAACGCACGCACGCGAGAGCCATTACACCTCGACGACTCTACTCTGCTTACTGTGCTCCGCTCGTTGCCGCCAAGTTATAGTTGCTCCGTTGCGTTGTCGCGCGAGAATAGAGGAGAGAGCGTGAGTGCGTGCAACGAGAAAACAAACGGCGCGCGTGACAGGTGCGCGATCGATCTCTTCTCTCTTTCTCTCGCTCTCTCTACCGAGGTGTTCGTTCTCGCGCGAGCAAAAGAGAGTCCCGCGATTCTCTCCCCCCACTCTGTTGGGGCGACGACGTCGACGACGGCGGTTTTTGTGTGCTCCGAGCAGTGCGGTGATAGTGCTAAGAGTGCAGTACCAGGTCGGGCGAATGCGTCGGCGTCGATGTGCCCTGCAGGAGGGACCTCGAGGTGCTCCGCTTAGGAGCTAAGCAGAAGCAGTCCCACACAGGAGAGAGATGGCCCTGCAGCAGGGTCCCACGGCGGCCACTAACAACGCGCCGGAGCCAGACAGCCAAACCAACGACAGGCTTCGCGAGTCTTTCATCAAGGAGCTCCAGCACTTCCACGACACCAGAGGGTGAGTCCATCAAGCGTCTCAACGGCTACCTTACCACATCTCTCTGTCTCTGTCTGTCTCTCTCGCTGTCTCTCTCTCGCTCTCTGTCTCTCTCACTCTGAATATGCTTTTATCAGCCTGGAGCAACAGTGTTGACATGCTAGTTTGTATTTCACACATAGTTAGTTGTCGCTTGGCATTTACACTGGCAAAACGCATCTGGATTATCAAATTGTTGCGGATATTCACTTGATCTCATTTTTATTGTTGTCGCAGGTTCTAGAATAGTAGCTGTATACGCTCTTGCCCTAGTTTGTTGTCTAATCAATTAGACAGTAGTTTTTCATAGTCAGTGTCGTTTAATAACTTTCAGATATTATTTTTATGCCTTTACTTCTTTTTGTGATAAATTTACTAACTGCAATATAGTACAGCGGAACATTAGGTTTCTTTGTAAATTTCATTTCAAATTCAAAATGCAATCTCTGTTCCTTTAGTTCATAATATTCTGTGGTGAAGGTTGATCATAATCTTAATAAATTACATTTTGTTTATGAACTAATCTCTCAATAATATTTGTAAAAATCGATCTAGAAATTTCAACAACTCAGCATAGTTAATCATTGGTATTGCTAAAATATAAAGTAGAGTAGACATTGTATAATATACAACACTGCAGGCAGCATAAAACCTTTTCTCTTAAGTTATTTGAGCCTTCAACAATAATGTTGACTATATTTAGCATCACGAGTATTAATACATCACTAAATATTAAAAATATAAATGCATATATAGTCTATTTTGAGTAAATTTAAGTGATGAGATTGTAAGATGAAATGGAGTCACTGATGCCATAAATAATTTGAGGTTAGGTTTGGTCTCTGGTTTAGAGTACTTTGTCAATGCCCACATTTAGACTGCTGCATATAAATTATCATTACTTAGTGTTTGTAATGTAATAAGCATAGTTACTTAACTATATCATACCATTTTTTGAAAATAGATATAATAAATTATTAACATTACAATGTTAAATTATGATGACAATTGATGTCATAACTGTTTACAGTTAGTCCTTAAGTTATGTTTTGAATATTATTATTATTATTATTTCTTTGCTTACTATAAAATTTATAAAAATCTCATGTTTGAATTTATTTTATGAACTTAACTTAGAAAAAGTAATTTCTTATGTTTGTAGCTCGAGATCAATACACATACAATCTTCTTATGAGATGAATTCAATCTATAGCTACAGGAAGCCTGTAAATCGTGCAATTATCTTACAGATTATCTATAGTCTTTGTTGCTCACTGATATCAGTCAATATTTGGTAAAACTTTGATATGTATTTGACTTTTTTCAAATAACTAGTTTAAAATTTGTCAACTACCTTCTGTTTATTGACGTATACAGTATAATAAATTATTAATATGACAGTAATATTTTAAATGGAAACAAATTCTATAGCAATTTTAGATGTTTATTAATTTATATGCAGACATGGATAGACATTTTTCTTTGTGGAGTTGAGTAAAAATACACAATATTTGAAAAATAAAGTTAAATTAAAACTGATAATTATAAGATCCACACTAGAAATTACTCATTAAGATCATGTATTATTTCTTATCCATCTTTTAATATTCTAATACTCTTCATTTATTTTCTTTTATTACTTATTTACATAATTAATTGTGTTGATTCTACTTAGAAAGATATTAGTTATTATTTATTGTTGTCTGTAAAATTTTATTAAAAAAATGCTTTTTATCAGCATAGTGTCTCTACATGATAATTTATCTAATTATACTATTCTAATTTTATCTTTACTAAATTATTATTCTATTCTTTATATATATTATAATGAAAAATCAAGCATCTTTTGCAGACTATATTATTAATATCAAACTGAAATCACATTTAGTGGTCTTTAACTAGACATCTTTGCATCAATGTACAAAATACCTTGAATAAGTTTTCTGGCTCTAATTATTTGAAAGGTTGTTTTGTTACTTACTATTGTCTATTCATAAAGATTCCATTGAAATACATTCTTTAAAGCTTGAAAATAAAAATTATACTGATTGAATAAAATGTTTACAGAACGCCATTCAAGAAAGTTCCAAAAGTAAGTGGCAAGGAGGTGGATCTTCACAAGCTCTACACAGTTGTCACATCACGAGGCGGATGGATCCAAGTAAGTGTCTCATGGTCACACTCAATGGCGCATCGTGCGCGAGTAAGCACACATGTAGCCATGGAAAGCAGTGTGTACGAAAGAACACAAGAGGCTTCCGGCGTGCCTTGTTCTCAACGGGCCCACAGTAGCGGGGTAACGAACGAGCGAACGGCGGGAAAAACGCGTTGCGCGCCTTTTCTTTCTCTCTCTTTCCTTCGACCGCGCGCACGTGTGTGAGTCAGGGCGCCGGCCGGCAGCCCGGGGAGGGGGTATTTCGCCACACACACACACACACACACAGACATACACACACAGTGACAGAGCACGTGCGCCTTTTTGGAGCAACGTCCCGTCGTTGTCTCGCTGGCGCAGGCCGATGGACTAAGCACACACGCCTATCGCTCGCTCTCTCTCGCTCGCTCCTGCGAGACCGTCTTCTCGAGATAAGGCAGATAGCCGCTTGTGCGGTTTTTTTTTTCCCCGTTTCTTCTTCGTTTGGCTAATAAAAGCACGCGGGCAGCCCGTCCAAGGGGGAAAGTGGCGATGCAGCGTGGGCTGCCTTTGAGGCCGCCTTTGAAAGCTTCCGACAGAAAGAAAAGACTGCCAGCCATGTTTTATTACTCGCGGCGAGTGAGAAACGGCAAGCGCATTCACTCGCTTTAGCTCGCTCGTTTTGCCTGCTGGTGTCAATCGTCTCCCACGTTCCTAAGAAATTTGCGCCCGTTCGGCAGATGGCAGACCCCACGGACGCTTACCGTTCGTTCCGGTCGGCGCGGACGGGGAGTCGGTCGTAGCTGGTCGCAAGCTCCGAGCGAGAGCCCGTAACGGCGTCGAGCGTGCAGCAGCGAGGATAACGCGGAAGTGGCGCAAGGTCAGGGTTATCCGAGGGAGGACTGCCTCGCTGCTGCTGTGCGGTGGTCGCGCGACTTACTTGGCGCCTCGGGTGGGGGTAAACGAACGAGAGAGAGAGAGAGAGAGAGAGAGAGAGAGAGAGAGAGAGAGAGAGAGAGAGAGAGAGACGGATACACGCGAGGTTGGCTGCTTCGGTACACTCGTGCGCGCATCGCAGCCGACGTAGCCGTCGAAGGATCCGAGAAGGCCAGCTTGCCGGATCGGTGGCATGGCGAGGGCAGGAGAAAGTGCCGCAAGCTCGTCGCGCGCGCCACGGGCTTCCTCTTCAACAAGTGCGCGTACACCGACGTATTCGCAAAGGTGTATGTGCGTGTATGTGTGAGTGCGTGCGCGCGCGCCAGAGTGTGTTGGTGTCTGATCATCGGCCGCGCGCTCCGGTGTGCTATATATATACCGGCGCGCGCGGCCGGCGCTAAGCTCGACGACTCTTCCGCTATGTCACAACTCGCTCTCTCGAAAAGTGCCGCCACTCTAATACGCCTCTGGCTTTATCCTTGTAGAAACGCCTGAGTTTCCAATCTTCGCTAACAGATCGTTGGTGGAATTATTTTTTTTTTCTTTTTAACTCATTCACTTGTTTCTGTAAATAAGATACCCGATCGAAAGGCTTATCGATATTGCAAATTCGTATTGCTTGGAAAATAAGCTCGAACTTCGTCGCGAGATTCGAGTTACGCTCGCGAGTGCGTCACACGCGCGCGAATTCCAGCATAGGAGATACCAGCGAATTTGCACATTAAACGTCCGTTTGCCGCGGCGCACGTATTAGAAAGCCGCCAACCACTTTCTAAGCGATTTTATTTTCGTACTTTTACCATCGCGAACTCTCCAGAGCGAGTTTAATGACAAGTCGCGCGCTGATTTTACGTAAGCCTCCCAACAAAAACAATGGAATAGGCAGTCGCGACTGACGTATATGTCAGCTTATGTAAAAAAAGGAGTAGAGCGGGGGGGGGAGTCATAAAGCTCCCAATTCCGTTTATCCGTCATGTACGTCCGCTAATAAGACGTTATTGGGCCTTACGTAAGGCGTTCGCGAGCAACACGTTCAGCGCCAAATAAAGCGACTTTGTAGAGACGATGAGTGTACTCGTGCAATCGCTACAAAAATGAAAAGAACGAGAGATCGAGAGAGAGACGACTGTTTAATTGGTCGAGGGAAATTCGCTCGAGGCGCTGGAAAATCAATGGGCGCGCGGCGTACCCGTGAGAATCCGCGATATCGATGGCCAGCTTGTGCGAAGCTTGTCAAACAAGATCGTCCATCTGATCAACGCCGTCGCGCGCACGCAAAAACAAAAAGAAAACAAGGAGGAACGCGCGGTCAAGCAAGCTCCGCGAAGTCTGGACCAAGTCTGATCGAGAGTGAGGGAGAAGTCAGAAATAAAACCGCAAAGCTACTGCGCTGCTGCTGCTTTTGATGATGGTCGCGCGAGGGGAGGGGGGGGGGGGGGTATACGCTGGAATCCGATGCACTGCTGAGTCAGGTGTAGTCGCGCGACGGTGCAGTCGCGCGTGGTCGTTTTGCGCTCTCGAGCGCGCCGTTCGGCTTTGTTCGAGAAAAGGAGCTCTCGCGATCGGGTATCTATCGCGACCGATGATCGATCGATCGGCCTTGCATAGGGAGACTCTTCTCCCGTTGGGGCTCGCGCGCTCGACGCCAGCGCTCCAAAATCGCTCAACGATCGCGCGCCTCGATGCTAAGTGCCATCAAAATCCAATCGAGCCTCCGTGAACAAACCGGCGCGCGCTCGTGGCGTACAATGGACCGATCTAGTTTGCAGCGGAGAGCGAGAGAGAGAGAGAGAGAGAGAGAGAGAGAGAGAGAGAGAGAGAGAGCGCAAAGTCGCGCGTTCGCCGAAAATGGCAAAAGGGCGCCTCCAATTTTTCTCTCTCTCTTTCTCTCTTGCGGGGCACTCGGAGCGAAGAGTTACGGCACTTGACCGCCGCGTCGAGCGAACGAGCGAGAGCGGTCGATACGGCAACACCGCGCCCGCATCATACATACGTATACACATATATATATGTATATATATATAGATATACACGGCGCATATACATGCATACCTCTATACGCGCGTACCGAGAGACAGAAACACTCGAAACCGACCGACCGCGGGAGAGCGAAACGAGTAATGCCTAGACGGACGCTCTCGCACCTTATTCGCGCAGCGTCTCTTTTGCTTTTTTTCCCCTCCCTTTGGCTCGTCTGCCTTTCGATCCTCGCCCAGAAATTAATCGCGCCGTCGTCGACAATCGAGAGCGCGAGCCTCTTCGCCCGCGCGCGCTCACTCGGCCCTGCCGGCGCCTAATCAAAGAGAGGCGTCGTGGAGGACCGACAAATGATGCGGCCGCCGACGTCACGCGAACGAACCGACGAACGGCAGGCGGGGCACGGGAAGACCGGCGGCAAGGTGTACAAAAGGCTTATCTGTCTCTCTCTCTCTCTCTTTAACTCTCGCTAGCCCGCGACCCAAGCGAGCGATAATTGCGCGCGCTCCTCCGCGCGTACACCCACGTACCATCAACACCCACGTACCATCAACACCCACGTACACGTGCGCGCCTATTTGGCAACGTCGCCGGGCCAGGGGGCGGGGGTCCGCGCGGGGTTTTTCTCTCAAGCTCGCGCCGGCGAGAGAGGCTGTCTGTCCCCGCACACGCACGCACACGCGTATACGGTAGCACCCGATGCCGCGCGATCAGCGGAGGGATTCTCGCCGCTCGTCTGCTCGGTTTTTTTTGTCCTTCGTTTCGTTCCGAAAGGACGGCTTTAACGCTCGGGGCGCCTTTTTGTCGATGCCGAAATTTGACGGTTGCGAGAGGAATGGCTCGATGCGGAGAAAGGCTGAAGGATCTCAAGGAGAAGTCGAATGTGTCGCTCTTTTTGGTTATCGTCTCTCGAGGGGGACTGCCGAGAGTAGCCGCGGAGTGCACCGCTCGCGTTGATCGTTGGACATCGCTCGCCGACGATTGTGCCGAACGGAACGAGCCGCGAAAGCATATCAAGCCGTACGTCGGTCGATCCCGCGATACGAGTGCTCGAAGGATCGCGGAGCACCTGGGTATCGCGGCGAGCGGTGGGCAGCAGCAAGCCGCGCCCTGCCCCGACGGATACCTCCGAAAAAAAATGTAAATTTGTCACGCGCGCGCGCGTGTACGGCGAAAGTGAGGGATAAATGAGCAGCGCGAACGGACGAGAATTCCGGGCACGAGGAAAGGTCGTGTCACGTGCGCCGACTAAACAACGAACGAACAAATCGAATAAAAATGCTCTTTTCGGCGTTCGTTTTCGCGGGACGGGGAGGGGGTACCGAGAGACGTGGCAACATCGGTGCCTCCGAGATAAGACGCCTGGGAGACGGATTTCCTCGATGGCAGTGGACACACCGTCGCGCGTCTGTTTCCGATTCCTCGTACGCAAGTGAGATGCCTTTTTATTTTTTGTTTTGATTCTTACTCGCCGCTGCCCCTCGAGGCAACTGCAGCTGCTGTCACCTCCATTTTGATGCGCAGCGCATTGCCGCGTTCGAGAGTGCATTGTCAAGGCGGAGCACACGCGACTCGAATATGATTTTTCGCGCGGTGAAAAGGCATTCGGAAGCTCCTCGCGATTCACATTTGCGCAAACAACTGCGTCGTCGACGAATGTGGGAAATATTTCGAGAAAGAAAACGCAAAAGCAACTGCAGATAAAAGTTTAAAAAATAAATGAATGAGAAATGAATAGGTGTAGATTATCGACCAAGGAACACGTGCCGAATTCCATTTAGATGAAATGTTATCACATAAAACAACAACAATAGAGCTCGTTAAAAATGTAAATCACCTCTAGATATGTCTCTCTCTCTCTCTCTCGCAACAATGCTAGTATATTATACACGCAAACACATCTGACCATGACAGACTTTCACTTTTTCTATAAAGTTTTCTCATTGCAAAATAAGTACGCATAGCTAGTTACCCCGTTTACTGATTATGTGCAGCTGCGAGAGTGCCAGTCGGTAATCTCCGGCGTGCGAACAACCAGAAAAAGAAAAGAAAACAGATCGATCGGGCTTACTTCTCGTCTCTGCCCCCTCGCGGCGAATAAAACATCGGGAGCAAAAGAGCGGAGGGCCGCGCGTCCGAGCGTGAAGTTGCAATTTGGCTAATTACACGCGAGAAGATGCGTGACGACGCGCTTGCAACAGTTGCAATCCGCCGGCGAGTGCTCTCCCGCGGCTGATTAGATGGGCGTTCTGTCTCTGTCTCGCGCGCTCTCTCTCTCTCCCTCTCTCTCTCTCTCTCTCTCTCTCTCTTGCGGAGAAAAACAGCCGAGCGCGCGCGCACGGCCTTCCGCGGAGCCGATCGGATGCCGGCCGGCGAAGAAGTAGCGGCCAGCACGTGCCGCGCGCGTCGTGGTCGCCGAAAAATCCCTCTCTGCTCTTGGCCTTGGCCTCTCTCTGTCTCTCTCTCTCTCTCTGTCTCTCTCTCTCTCTCTCTCTCTCTCTCTCTCTCTCTCTCTCACTCTCTCTCTCTCTCTCTCTCTCCTCTCTCTCTCTCCAGAGCGTTGCGCGCGACGCGCTATATACACGCGCACGCTCGCGGAGGAGGTCAGTGCACCTTGCGCCGCTACGCTTTTCTTGCTCGCTCTCTCTACGCCCCCCCCCCCCCTCCTCCCGTCCTCCGCGGACGATGATCCTCGCGGGTGCAGACATCGCAGCCCCCTTTCGACTAATCAACTGATTGACGTTGACTACGGTCCGTTGCGACGTAGACGAGCGACGACGACGACGACGACGAAGACGACGATGACGACGACACCGACGATGACAGAACAGCAGACTGTCGGTCGAATCTCCTCTCGCTCCTCCTTCTCGTCCGTACGCGCACGCGAAAGAGAGAGAAAGAGGACTATCAGCTGACTGACTGTCAGTGCGCTCAGTCCGTGTGCGCGTTTAGTGGTAGTGGGGCGGCAAACTGCCTGCGAGCTCGCATGTGTGTGCGTGTGTCATTTTGGCGGGACTCACGCTCTCGCACGTGGCTATCCGCGACGCGGCACCGAGTGGGGGGAACGTCGTACGCGGAAACCGCCGCGTCTCTCGCTTGACGCGTCGTCGTCGTGTTGTTGTTACTGTTGCTGCCGCCGCCGCCACCGTCGCCGCCGCTGCTGCAGCCTGCTGCTGCACTGGACGCTACGCCGGGCGTTGGCTCGACTCGGCGCTCGCGAGAGCTTTCCCAAACGGGGGCGGGACCGGAGCGAGGCGGCTCGAGGGTGCAGCGTCGACTCGCGAGGGCCGACGACGCGGCGGTCCCGCGGCGCCGCGACGACAAGCGGAGCACGTGTACCGGCGGCCGAGCGCGTGCGCCGTCCCGCGCGCGCGCGGCGGTGGCGACGACGATCCGGCACGGTCGCCGCTGCGTGTTCCCGGCGACGAGGCGGCGGACCGGCCTGACCGCGGCCTACCCCAACGCGCGCGCCAGACCGAGGCCGAGCGCACGTGTCGCGCCGCGCTCGCGAGCGCATGCGTCGCCGCGCTGCAACGTCCGCCTTCTCAAGGTCGGCGCTCTCCGGCCGCGCAAGACAGAGACGGGGAGCGGGAGCTTGCCGCCGGAGCGCCCCGTCGCAGCTGGCGAACTGGCTGGGTCACCGCTCGAGCGCGTGCCTGTGCCCCGGCCGTCGTCGCCGCGCGTCACCGGGAATAACTGGCGCGCGCGCGGCGGGGAGCACTGACCCACTGTCGCTCTCCCAGCTCTCGCCGCGTGCCGAGCGTAGGCCGGCGAACGCCCTCCCCGAGCTACCTGTGCCTCGCGACTCGCGCGGAGACCGCGGAGCCGCGTTTCCGCCGGCGGGCCCTCGTCGAGCGTCGGCGTGCACGCGGCGCCCCACACCAGCGCCCGTCAGCGCGCGAGCCGTCGCAGCGCCTGGAAATAACTTGGCCGCGCCGCTCCGGAAGAACGAATGGACAGTGTTTGAGAGTCTTGCGAGGAAAGGCCCTTGTATGCATTTGGGAGAGACCGCGCGCGGGTTATTCCCGGCTCGGCGGCTGCAATTTATAGACAGCCCCAGTGCGATATAAATAATCATCGAAAGGGACAAATGGACGCGCGCGACTCTTCCCGACCGTGGAGGTCTCACTTTTTTCTTCTGTTTGGTTTCTGTTATTTATCTCTGCGCGTGTCTGTGTTTCAGGTCAACTCGAAGAACGAGTGGGCGTGGCTCTGCGAGGAGTTCCATCTGCCCAGCGGCTGCGTCAATAGCGGCGTCGGCCTCAAACAAATTTATCTTCGGTGAGTGTTGATTATGACGACGCGCCGCTCGCTCATCTCTCCGCGCGAGCGCCCTTTCGCGGTGCGCGCGCCTGTCGGTGAATACACACTCTACTTTGTTTTATTTATTCTTTTTTTCTTTCCTCTCGTTTAGATGCCAAAGCTTCTTTCGTGCGATCCGCGTGGCAACCGTTTCATTTTCACGAGTTTCGAGAATTGCTCGGGTATAACGTCGTCGTTGAAAGTTGGGTGGTGGAACTGCTGTTTCAACGAATGCCCATTGCCTTTAAGCGCGCCGTCGACTCGTCGGCGAGGAAGTATTTTATCGGCAACTAAAGTAAATTAAATTGTTGTTCGCTGTCGGGAACCCGCTTGATGAATAGAAATGAATTCGCGAGCCGATGCGTCAACTGCCGAACAGTGGCCAATCGCCGTTTCGCCTACAACCGGACGATTGTTGCTTGCGCGCCTCGATTCTCGGTCATCCTTCGCGCTCCTTCTCTTCCATTGTACTTGAAAGTACGTTTGGCCTTGATTGCACATTTGTAATTGCATTGAACGCCTTTTCGCAGGTACCTCGACCGATATGAAAAAGTCCATTTCCTGGGTGAGGACGGCCACCAAGCTGACGACGATGACGAGGACTCGAGGCATCGCAAGTGGAACGCCAGGTCGCTACACTCGGTGCCACACACCTACAATCATCATCAGCACAACGTTGCCGGTCAGTCCAGCTGGAAAGTCATTGTCAATAATGGGGTAGATGGGGGGGGGGGGGGGCGACTGCGCGCGTTCGCCGTGCCCTCGCTGCGAGGCGCGACGGCGATAATCACGACGATGACGGCGAATCCCGTCGAGCATTCTCGCACGCAAGTCGACTGCTCTTGCTCGCTCTCGCTTTGCATGGGCTACGTAGGAAGCTATATCCGCGGGTCTATACTCGCAGCGCATGCGTCTCGCGGATCAATCGCTCCGTGCCATCCGCGAGAGATCCGTCGCTTTGCTGGTTGGCGCCGCCGCCGCCGCCGCCACCGCCGCCAGCCAAACGTATTTGTGCGTGCGCCTGACGCGCGCGGGGCCATTGATTTTGCTGTTTGTTCTCTCGCGACGGCGACGTGTGCACAGCGCTTTAAAAACGTACCTCGAGCGCCTCGTCAATCCGCTGGCTCGAACGTGACGATTCCACTTTACTCTCTGCTTCCTGGTCACTTTGAGATTCGTGTTACGGGAGCTCGCGCGAGCTTTGTGATCACGAGACAATTTTTCTCTTTCTCTTCGACTCGATGAATTTCCCGTGGCTAACATAAATCTTCTTTGTTCGAAAATAAATTATTTCCAAGTAATGTATATTAAACTGAGAGTGATGCTCGCAGAGAAAAATGCATAAACGAATGATAAAGCGTGAAAAAACGTAATCGCCATTTTCCTTGTCGTGAAGCACATCGCAGTCAAATGATTAACTCGGGGAGGGCGAGACGCAGGCGCCTGCGGTTTATATAGAAATCGAGTAGTAGTAGCTGGGACACAGTGGCGGGCAACCCCACTTTTCTCTCTCGCGGCTTGTCACGCCAGGGCGCGTGTGCGAGTTTCTGTAAACTCGCGGCTTACGCTTTCCCCGGGCATCCTTCTTTGCGCGATTGAGCCATTCTCCCGCCAGATGTTCGTTTACTATCGGGTCACTTTGTTTTAGAATTATATCAGGATCGTCTAACGTTTGTACTTGGCACTGTAAGCTGCTTTCGGTTTCGATCAAATTTCATGAAGCATTTGAACGAAAGACAGCAATTCACCGTACAAGTACGGTAAAACATTGTTTGAAGCTTGAAATAATGATTTCGCACTGATTATGATAAGGTGCAACGAAAAACTCGTCGAAGCGTCTCGATTTAGCAAGGGAAAGCACGATGCAAGCACAAAGTTCAAGCTCGGCAACTGCGCCCAGCCGTATTGTGCAAATCGATGGTTCGAGCAGGTCGTTAACCGAAACTAGGATACCGTCGAGAGCAGCGCGCTCACCTTTCTTAAGCATCGCGCGAAGAAGGAAAGAGAGATCGATAAAACGCGCGAAGTCTCTTGCGGGTGAGAGAGCGAGAGAGAGCGTCAACAAGTGCGAAAAGAGTTGCACGCGGAGAAGGAGAAAAGAGAGCCGCCGGGGCGCGAGAAGCCACAATCAATAAACCTGCCCGAGCTCTTCACCCCCTTCTCCCGGAGTGTTTTGCCGCGCGTTATATATCTTATTGTCAAGCGGAACATGGGAAATAAAGATGAAAACGGCTCAATTAGCTGAAAAGGGTGGTGGCTAACCGCCCACGGCTGGAGTGGGGACGATGCCGGAGAGATTCGTCGCGTAGTCGTGCATCATATCGCATTACAAAATCAATATCGCTTTCGGTCGTCGTCGTCGTCGCCGCCGCCACCGCCGTCGCCGTCGCGCATGTACACACACGTGCATTGTTGTCGCTTGGGAGAGCGCGTGATAAGCGATGAGCGACCCCCCATCCCCCCCGTCCTCGTCGTCGATAAAAACACCACCGCCCCCTACCCCCTCTTCTTCGTCGCGATGCTCTTTCGCGCTTACGCGGATACGAACAGAGCCTCGCTTCTTTCCGTTCTGCTGGGCTAGCGGATAACGATGATGGCTCGCTGGCGATCGAACGAATTTCGTTTATCTGCACGGATGCGATCGCGAACACATTGGCAGACATACGCATCTTGCTGGATTTGCGCAGAAATGCTGGTTGCGGATCAATTTCTGGGGATATTTCAGATCGGATATAATGAATATTGAGGGATGGGCGTCTAGACGTTCAACGCGAATCGGAAATTTTGATGAATGCAGCGCTTGGATTGTCCACGATGGCTGTCCATCGGCGCTGGAAATGCGGCAATCAAGAGTTGACCCGATCGTTCCGCACAAGCGAGAGAGACTAATGCGGCTCCCTTGGCGTTTTTTTTTTTCAGAAACACTGCGCGAGTACAATGGGCTCTCGCCGGATCTTTACAAGCCGTCCAACTACGACAAGCTCGCGCTCTCGCTGCTGTCCCCTTTGCCGAACGAGCACGACTTTGCGATCAACGTCTGCACGATACTGTCGACGGAGGGCAAGCACACGCTGCGCCTCGACCAGTATCCCCGCCTGGTGAACCACCTGCTCGCGCACGCCGGGGTCTACGACTCACCGGGCACGCGGCAACTCTTCGTCGACGTCTACTCGCGAGTACGCAACTACTCCATCAACTCGTTTTGGCAGGACGTGCTCGAGTCTCAAGACATGCTCGACCTGACGGACGAGCGAGCGTTCGTGGTCAGAGCAAGCGCACAAGCAGGTCAGAAATTCTTCAGAAGAAGACTGTGTGGCAGGGACAAGGAAAAAAGTCCCGAACCGTGTATCGTGCTGGACGAGCCTATGGACACCACCGACGATTGTAACGGATTCAAGGATCAGAATCAGAATTCCATCAAGTTCGAGGAAGACGACAGAGAGCTGTTTTGCGTGGGCAGAACGCTGGGCACTCAGGACCCGTTCGGCCAGCGAGTGCTACAGATCGCTTCGATACTGCGCAATCTTAGCTTCACCCCGGAAAACGCGGCGATACTTGCCAGGAGTCGCTCGTTCCTTCGCTTCGTACTACTGTGCGTGAGATCGAGGTGGAGCAATCTGCACCAACTCGGCTTCGACACGCTCGGCAACATCGCGAACGAGATTATCCTCAAGGAGGCTGGCGAGAGAATCACCAATCTCATCCTGTCATGCGTCACCAAAGGCGTTGACTCGCAAGACAGGTTCATCGTCATCAGTTCGTTGGAGATCCTTAACAAGATCAGCCAACAAGATCTTAACGAGGAGACGCTCACCTTGGGACTGGACGATAGCGTGTACAACCTTATCTGCAGATTCCTGGCGCTCAGTGACATCGCTCTGCTGGTCTACACGCTCGAGTGTCTTTACGCGCTCACCTCCCTTGGCGAGCGTCCGTGCACGAGCGTCGCGAGAGTCCGCGGTGCTATCGATACCCTCGTCGCTCTCGTCACCGTCGAAGCTCAAAGTTACGGGCCCAAAGCTTGCATACTCATGCGCGTGGTCGAGACGGTGTCTGCTATACCGGCATCGCAGCAACAGCAGCAGCAACAGCAACAACAGCAGCAACAGCAGCAACCGTCGTCTACGTCCACGACGGCAAACGCGCATAGTTCGCCGTCGCAGACGACTAACGTTGCCGCCAATCCAGTCGCACAGTCACAGACGCAACAGCCGCAGACAGTGAGTCAGGTGCAGCCGGCGCAGGTGCAGGCACAGGTCGTTCAACAGCCAATGGCGGTGCAGATTCAAGTGCAGTCGCAACCCACGCAACAAGTGCACATTCAGCCTCAGACGGCGCCTGTCAAGGTTGTTAACACTGCTACTTCCAGGCCGATTACCCCTAAAGGCGCTGCAGCGAGTGAGTCTACGTCCTTCTCTTCTTCGAATGTTCTTTCGGGATCAAATTTTAAAGATTGTGTGATCAACTTGTGTTATCAACAGAAGCAGCGCAGGCAGCATCTTCCCTGGCTAGTGCCCACACACATCAGCAGATCATTCAGGAGAACGAGCAGTTCGCGCTGGGATGGCTGAGAAATACTTTTGAACCGGCCACGGGAGTGAAGATTGAACAGGAAGAGCTATACAAGAAGTACTTCGGATGCTGCACCAAGATTGGCAGGAAGGGCGTCATCGCACCCCTTCACTTCCCACGATGCGTCAGGTACGATCACTTCATTTTAAAAAAAGTAGATGTAATGTAAAACTGATTTTTTGCTAAATACATATTTCCCGTTATAGATTATAAATAAAAGTAATGTTCTATAATGGACAGTTTGAATAATGTTAGATAAAATTGCAGCGTTGTAGCTTTACTAATGAAATTCTTGTGTTGAGCTTATCTAAAGCTATTAAATCTTCGCGTATAATTGACTGAATTAGTTATCTGGATCTTAATATAGGAAATAAAAAAAATTCAGTTCAAAATTCGATACTTTATGATAAACATATATTTTTGGGAAACATTAAGCTACATATGTATCATTACTTTTATAGGAATGTCTTTGGAGGCAGCGTCGGTCCGAATCACATGAAAGGCGAGACGAGCGGTCCAATGTTCTACGAAGGGATCAAGATCCGGGAGAACCCAGGCCAGGTGACGTATCCGAGTCAACAAGTCGTAGCGTCGAGCCCCGCGGGCTTAGCCAATAATAGTGCGATGATAACGACAAAGATCCAGCTACAACAACGTAACGATTCCAACACCACCACCGTTCCACCATCCTCCCCAATCCTTAAAGCCCAATTGTCTGCTCCACCGAAACCCAATACCACTACTCCCTCTAGCCCATTGTCAATAAATGCCCCGAGCCCGGCCACGAGCTACGAGCCCAAAAGTCAGGTGGGTTCTCTTCGAGTCTATCTGATTATGATTAAGCTTTTTTTATTATTATTCAAAAATTAAGAATCGTGTCTTCATTTTTGTCTGCCTTAGCAGAATGACTTGTTGATTGCGATTATTCTCTTGCTATTCTGAATTTTACAATTATCTCTCTATATTGTTGCTCTCGCACTAAAGTTTTTCCTGATAAATTTTTTAGCTTTTATTCGATCGCTTTTATTTTGGTAAATGGGTGTTGGCATGACATAGAAATTATTTTTTTCAATTATTTTTAAAATTTTCAAAACAGTATACATTTTACGAAATGATAATCACGTTCGATAAATATTGCGGTTGCTTTCATTGTCGTGCATATGTCGTTTCATAATTTTTTAAGCCCGAGAAGATTGCCACGCAATATAATGTTATTTTGGAAAATGAGCTACAATTTCCTATTAAAAATAATAGAAAACATCTATATGCTTATAACTAACATTTGAAAACGATACAAATATTAACCTGATAACTGTAGCTCAAAGTACATAAATTTCATTGAAGATGAATATTCTTTTGTAGGATTTTGAATCTAATAAGCAAGAATAATTTTTGCATGAGTGAATACTGATAATACAGTTGAGAGAACTATTATTCGATGCTATTCTTATTAAGTTCCTTTTATTTGTTCATATAGACATGAAGAGAACTCGTGGGCCATCTCACCTTTTAACATGACTTCCTTAATTTTTCATTGGTGTCGGCATTTGTAATAGATTTACTTATTCATATTGTATGACTATGTTATTTAGTTCGATATTTAGACTTTGAATATGTCTGCAATTGTAGCATTATTACAACTTTTTATCAGTAGACAAATTCAAAGTTACATCCCTTCCTGGGATTTTGCATGAAACGTTACGATACGTAGTGAAAAAATGTCATTTGCATATTACGGTCTCTTCGAAATTTCTTTCAAAATTTAACACGATAACAAAGCTATGCTAATTATTTACATTTCAAGGCTTTGCTTATCTTAAAAACAATTATGCCAAAAATAGTAAAATAACTAATTGGACTAATTAAACATAAAAAAAGTATATAACATGCAATATCCCGCTAGAGTACATATCTGAACATAGTTGTTGAAATTATCGGTAAAATAAAAGTGACAATGTAAGAAAGTAAATTAAGCGCAAGGAATCAACGTAAGCATTATTGAATAGATTTTTTATTCAGACCTTACATCGCTTACTATATTGCACCTTCAAAAGCTATCACAAAGTTACGAACGACAACGTTGCTACTCGGTAGGTTTCGTCGTCGCATCCTCACCTCAGTCAAGCCCTTCTGGGATGCAACGCTAACACGTCGTCACAGCAGCAACAGTCGTCCTCGCAACAGCAGCAGCAGCAGCCGCAGCAACAAGTGCAGGTGATCGTGAAAGACAGCAATGGTGCAATGACAACGGCAACAACGTCGAGTTCTATAATCAAGAGCCTGTTGGCAACTAAGGTAACAGTCGGCGGCGAGTGCATGCCGAGCGCCGTCGGCGCCGCTAGCTCGATACCCTGTGTGCAACAGCTCGCTGTAACAAACGCCACTGGCGTTATCTCCAACATCAGTGCCAACCAGCAATTAACCGCCAATCAGGTATATACCTGTATTGATTTTTTGTTTTGTATTAACCCTCCATTGTTCATTATATTTTTTTCTATTTGATTGTTAATCTCAAGTTTACTTGGTTCACATATTCGTTCTAGACTTTTATTTTCATAAGTACAATCATTTATAGTTGAGATTTATACGTTTTACTTCTAATAAGCTTGCTTTGGAGAAGGATGACTAGTTTTTTTTTAATTATTATTTAAAAACATAATTATTGTTACACTTTTATAAATTTTTATTAAGCACTGAAGAATTTGTGCGGATTTCTTAATACACTCTTTCTATTTTTATTTTCTATAAGTTTATATTTTTATATGAATGAAATTCTGGGTCTACGTCAAATGGATGCGAATGTCAAAATGTAATCGTAATTATTTAATTTTCCAACTACTTCGTTTGTTTTTGTAGACTTTTTTATTAGTTTTTATTTTGTCGTCGTTGCGTTTGAAAGTGTGATAAGCATGGTATTTACATGTCATTGTAGATTGCAGTAAATTATTTGAATGATGTTCAGTAGATTGGTTTTATTTTACAATTGCTTAAACAAATAATTGTTAAGCAAAATTATTAGTTTTTATCTTTATTTTACTTCCAAGTGAATCTAACAATTTGTAATGAAATTGGCACTGATCATAGTTTATTCATGACTAACATTAGCATGTTAAATTTAAATGTTAAAAAATAATCAAGACCAAAACTAAATTACAATGAGTGTGCAAGTGATGTGTAATACAGAGAAAGTATTTGCAAATTATCGGTATTTTCCAACATCAGGTTGCTCAGCGACAGCAGCAGCAACAGCAGCGCCAACAGCAACAGATAACCGTTGTACAGACGCCAACTAAGACTCCAGCCAATGCCAAGGCGAAAACAACAACGATCGCCGTTAAAAAGGTGCAAAGGGTCAACGGCGCTAAAATCGTCATGGCGAACAATTGCGAGAAGGTATAAATTGTGCTTGTTAATTTTCATTATTGCGATAGTTTGGTACAAAATTTATAAAGGTAACTTATTATTAAATATTTGCATTATAGGCGGATGCGCCGGACAGCGATACGCAAACTCAACTAGCCGTTGCAAGTATAACCACCGACTCGAATCACGTAGCCGCAGCAATAAGAAAGCCCAACCAATCTCCTCACCAACGAAATGTATGCACTCCAGTTGGCGAAGACTCTGATTCGACAAACAATTCCTTAGCGTCGTCCAGCGGTATCGGAGGTAGTCGTGATTGCTCGGGTGCTGGTGCTGAAGAAGAGAACTCATTGACGAGCTTCGAGGGAATCTTACTGAATGGCGCTCCCAATAATCCCGATATTGACGCCCAAGACGATGGCTCGTCGAAAGACTCGTCCAGTGTAAGCTCAAAGGAGAAGCCATTACAGAGCATGATGCTTGCGGATTTGTTAGAGAGGAAGGTGGACAAGGAACCAATCTTGAATGGGATTCTCGGCAAGAAGGATCTTGTGGAGAATCATATCAAGAAGGTAAGGGTACGTAGATGGTGAATGGGCTATTCCCAACTTATTTTATTATTTAATACGTTCTTCTGTATAATTTTCGTATACTTAGATAATTAAGTGTTCAATAACTCGATTTTAGTGTAGAACATTTTTTCTGTTTTGCAGCAAAAAGGTTTAGATCGAACGTATTATCTGTAATTATTTTTAAATAATTCTGAATCATAACCTCTTAATTTCTTTTCGATTAGGTATTAAAAGAATCTCCAACCGACATAAAGATTAAGGCGGAAGTGTCGGAAGACGCCTTGATTGAAGCCCCAGCTCGTGTAGGCATAAAGCGACCAGCAAGCACAGACACGGAAGAAACAGATACGAAAAAGCTCAAATATTCAAACGGTACGAGCTCTCCGGATCCAGCCGCGATTATGCCGAGCATCAAGTCCGAGGAGCCAGAAGAAGAAAAAGTTACCGTTTCGTCGACCGCCGCCAATTTATATGCGGCTCTGGCTGCAGATATAATTGAAGACGAGACGGATCTTGAGGAAACGTCGGCCTCCAAGGAGGAATCAAAAGTGGTTGTAAAGCAAGAACCAACGATAAAAATAGCACCACCGACAACACCCAGTCCGATCGCAACAGCACCTGAGCAGCCGCCGCAGCAACAAGTCCAGCAACGAATACAAGCTCCAACAACTCAGCCGCAAACTATCGCCATAACGCAACAGCAGCTGCAGCAGGGTGGTCTGATAATGGGTCCGCGACAGATCGTCGTACAGCAAACTATCCCGCAAAACAATCAGATTGTAACGATCCCAGCGGCAGCGCTTAAGGGCCGGTCGCCGCAAATGCAGCCTCAAGTGCTACAAGTTCAACAAGGCAGCGGAGGTCAAACACATTACGTCATCTCTGGTGGTGTTGGTGGCCAGAATTACGTATTGGCTCAACCGCAGACGGCGCTGGTTCAGGGTCAAGCGCAGACGGTGCTGGTGGCCCAGCAACAAGGCACAAACACTAAAACAATAATCATTCTTCAACCCCAAGCGGCAGCTCAACCCCAACCACAAAAAGTCGTTGCCGTTACGCCGCAAGGCCAGCAAGTAGTTGTTACGCAGGTACCACGACCGCAACTGCTCAGTTCGTCGATAGGCAGTATTCCTCCACCGTTGGTACCCACCTCAGCATCGATCGTCGTTAATCAACCGGCTACAACGCAAACCCAAAGCCAACCTGCACAGGGTACGATAACGGTCGTGCAAGCTCCCCAAACTACTGTAGCCACGTCCACGATGCCGGTAAGGGTGGTCACGCCCACACCAGCATCGACGCCGCCAACCTCCAGACCTGCCACTCCGCATGTGGTACAAGTGACACAACCGAAACCAACTACGCCGCAACCAGCTTCGCCCGTGGTTGAACAGGTAAAGGATACCAAAGTAACGGAGAATGATGGAAATAGCAATTCGACAAATCATGCTATTGACAATGGGAAACAGACGAGTAGCCACGAAACTGCCATCACTGCTGCGACAAACACGACTGGTGCATCAGTCTCCACTATGACTACATCCTTAACGTCTGCGTCCACGACGAATAGTAATCCCGGTCCTAAAACTATCACCATTAAGATGAACCCAAAAGCGTTCCTTTGTGAATGGAGAGGTTGCCTAAAGTGAGTACTTGTACTGATTCTTATTAAGTTAATGGTAGTTTTCCACTGGATATGCTAATTATGCGCTACATTTCAGACAATTCAAAACTCCAAGAAAGGTGTATCTACATGCTATAGAAACTCATTGTCCAACCGGAGACGAAGAGGCTCTATGTTTGTGGGCCAGCTGTGACGGTCTTAAAAGGCGAAGATTCTCTCTGATGACACATTTGTTTGATAGGCATTGTATGGAGAGCGTAAGTTTAAGACGGTATTCATACTAAATTTGGCATAAATTATTCGACATTTATTTTAAATTTTGTATATTTTTAGGTCATGCTGGCGAGGAGGAAACAACTGACTTCTTCAGAGAAAACAGAAGTTCCAGTAGCTCCTCCACCTCCTCCCATCACACCACAGCAGCAACAGCAGCATCCGGGCTACGCGCCTAACGCTGCTTTTCATGCTATCAAAAGGCACGCACTTGAGTTTGTCAATCCCAAGGAATTGATGGTAAGTTATTGATTTACAATGTCTTTCTTATTTTCTTCCTGTAAAAATTCTGCTGAAAACAAATTCTAGTAGTGCCTCTGAGCTCTGCTTTCAATACAAAAATTTTCTGATCGGAAATTTACATAGTTGGTATTCTACTAAATCGGCGTACTTTTAAGCAAAATCCCGCCAATCTGTTATCTAAAGTTACTCAGAAAAAAATTTCTTGTTAACCTAACGATCAAATTTCTCTTGTTCTCCTTGGAAACGCAGCAAAGGCCATCCAAGCCGGCTGCAACCACCACTAGCTCCTCTTCCCCCAGACCCGGGCAAAATCCTCCACCGGAACAGGTAACGACGAGACAGAAAAAAAACAACGGAAAAAAGTTATCGCCTCGCATTGTTAGATAGCAACTCTTGTGTCGCAGCAGATTGTTTCTTTTTTTTGCTTCTATCAATTTTTTTTATTTGGTTTTTCCTTGTTAATTTTCTCAATCGACATTCCTATTCCAATGCGTGGGAGACACTTATCTACTTTTTCACCTTTTTGCTCCTTCGCATGATGTAACCTTTGTATTCCTCAATCGATATGTTTTTGTGCATTTAAGAATCGTTATATTTCACAAATCGTTTTCATTGTCCATTCCATTATCCTTTAGGTTGAAAATAGCTTGATATGTCACGTTTCTAATCAAATCTAGGTTAAGTATCACATAAAATATTGTTTCATTGCCAAAAACCGTACTATATTTTTAGCATGCTTTTGTAACTAATGCACTTAATTTGTAATAGCTGTGGTTTATTTGAACACAATGTTTGCACGATTCTGCTTTTATACTTCGGATGTTTTTATTTATTATGCCAATCAGGTATTGTACTCTTTGTTTGGTACAAGTGCAATTGTGCCACAATTCAAAATAAGATCATTTGCAATCATCATTCTATTCTATTATCGTTGTTTATAACTTCATTTCAATATCAGATGGAACTTGAATAAACTAATGATTTTATAATTATTATTTTTTTTGCAGGATGATAATGAAGGACCTGTAACTAAAAGTATTCGCTTGACGGCAGCTCTTATCCTCAGGAACCTAGTCATATATTCCGCGCACGGTAGAAGGTAAGTAATATCTTTGTCAGCATGTTTTTTTTTAATCATTTTTTTGTCTCTCAAGCCGCCAAAATTTAATTTATAACTTATATTGTTTCCAGGCACCTTCGAGCATATGAGCCGCACTTAGCCGGTGTGGCACTAAGCAACGTCGAATCGTCCAGGACAATCGCACAAGTCCTCTACGACATGAACGATCAGAGTAGTAGCGGTCACAGGTGACCAGTCGCGTCGAGCCTATCGGAACTGAAAAGCTTCAACACCTAAAATTAGAGCATCGATCAACTCTGTGAATTCTGACGTGGATCTGCCCGAACTACTAGCTTTTAAGCGACTCACACACATACATGCATTCAAAGAACAATAACTTAAGTGAAGTTAACGTACTAAAATGGGGGAAGAAAGAAGAACAGTGACAAGAGGCCTACAAACTTACTGGGCAAATAATTCATTTTGCCAATAATCTAGCACGTACGGATTGTATAAACTAAGATGTAGAGTGCTTGTCGCGACGTGGGAAGAGACAATACAAGTGGATATGAAGAGTAGATTTTTTTAAAGTGAACCTGAAGATAAACTTCAAATCGTCATTATTAATGGATGCAGTGATAACATAAAAATAAAGAAACGAGATAATATTTCAGATTTAATATTAATATTTATTTTCTCAATAAAGGCGACGAAAATGATTTAGTGTGTACAAAAAAAAGAAAGCAAACATGAGAAGATACTGAATGTGGTGGCGAAAGTAAAGCACTTTATGGACGTTATAGTTTAATTATAATGGATTAATGTTATTGTGTATGAACTACATTTTTCTTTGTACCCTTTTTGGCTCTTTTCTTTATTCGTGACTCACGAATAAGAGAAGAGAGCGAAAAAGGCTTTTTTATTGATTGTAATTTTTATTCAGTGTATAATTTTCGCTTACTGGATTGCAACTCGCAATTACATGGCTATACCATCGTCTCTCTTTTGTTTTTATTATTTTAATATAACATTCGCGATTCACCATAGAATCTAGAAAAAGAGAATTATATCCTTTGAATCTTCATCATCCACTTAACTTAGGTTATAAATGATTTCCAACTTTTAAGTTTATATCTCAACCAGCTTTTCTTCGTATTATTTTTTGGTGATTTAAATCACCATGAAATATTTTGAAAATTCTTTTGATTACGAAAGGAATTTTATTAATTTTTCAGTACACGTCTTATATAAAATAGCTACGATTAAGAGTTTTTGATGAATTTTTTTAGAAGACACAATTCTATTTACACAAAAATGACACATATTGCATTTATGTAATTATCATTTTTTTATCTTAGCTCTCGAAAAAAGTGAGAATCAGATCGATTTGAATGCAAGAGAGTGCAGAAAGAATGTAATAACTTTGTAAAAAGAATTAACTCTAAGACTTCATTACTTCAAAGGAGAAAAAAACGGAAAGCACATGCAGAAATACTTGTAAATAATATAACTGTATTACATTTGCATTGTGAAAAGTATAAAACAGTGTACATTTTTTCTCTGGAAGTTGACACAATGATAGATTTAGTGAAAACTAAGAGTCGCTGTGGAAAAATGTGCAAACGAATCGAATCAGATTAACCATTAAGTAAACAAATTTCTTTGTATTATACAAAAATAAAATCGACCTTCTATAAAAAAGAATATTAAAAAGTGAACGTTTTTGTAAGAACAACTAGTAATTACCAAAATATGAACTAATGAATCGCGGAGCAAAGATCAACTTTAAGATTTACATGCAAAAACAATCATGTATTTTATATAAAAATGTAGAATATAAAACAACTTCATGGACAACTACAAATAAAAGTCTTTATTTTGCTTGATTTTTATTTTAATTCTATTATAATTTGTTTGTAGAATTTCACATGGATGGCGTTTAACTGACACAGTTCATCGAGATTTTATACATATGTTATATTGAAGAAAAATAGGTAAGTATCTTATAGCAATATACAAAAGTACTTTAATATATAGTAACTGTATCAAATAAATTAGCAAAAGAACTCCGCTTTATGTAAATAAAACTCAGAAGATTGTTTAGCTAGTCAAAAGAAAAGTGAATTTGTGACTAATTATTTGTACTTGTGAGTAAACAGAAATGTATGACTAATTTTTAAGGGCTATAAACATTTATAGAATAATCTTAATACATGGTATACTTAAAAAAGGCATCAATTGAAAACTAAAAATTTTAATTCGTTTGACATTTGTCTTTACTCGATCAATATCATTGTCAAGATTTTATTTGAAAATATTGTTATAATCTTTACGTATCTACATGAAATTTACTTATATCATAAAGTAGAACGAGTTATGAAAAGAAAATGCCAAATTATTGTGCTTATAATTGAATAGTAAAGTAGAGAAATAAATAATACGAACTTGTTATATTCAATAAAAAATATCATTTACATTAATTGGAATCGTATAATACTTCAATGATCAAACATTATCAACTTTCTATATTTTGAGGCGTTAATTACATTGTAGATGATGTTGATATCACGCATATTAATATAATTGTAATACTAAAAACCTTGAGATAAGGCACTGGTCGATGTAATATAATAGAGCTGTCGTCATAATATGATGTAAATATAATAGGATATATTTTAGGGTTCTTCAAAGACGTTCTTTTGCTCAACGATTGTAAAAAAATGGCTCCGCCCAACGAAAAAAGCGTTTCATCAGTTCGACTAGATCGCATTTTATAAGTTATAGATGTATTAAAGAGAAAAAAATTTAGGAATACTTCTTTAAGCGTAAAAATTCTAACAATCTTACTTACAAACCGATAAAATTTTTTCATTATTATTAAAAAATTTTAATCTCGAAAGTTATGAAATAAGTAATTTAAATAGTCAAAAGTCTGTTACAGATTTTCAAAAATAAAAATGTTAAATATCACATTATCTATCAACATTCTAAGATTGCATATATCAAATTTGAAATCTTAATATTGACTAGAAAATATACAAGCGATTTAATCGAACAACATTGTGTCGAGAAATCTATGTTTAAGCATATTTTTATTAATAATTTTTATAAATGCATCGTTACTTATTTTTTCTTATGCATCTATCGTTTCAGAATTAAAAAAAATCAAAAAACTTTATCTTAAAGTTTTGCGATTATCTAAAGAAGTGTTCTATGTTGTTTTTCGAAATCAAAATCGAAAAATTGATTTTTTATGAAGAAATACATAAGGAACGATGTTTTCTAACTGAAATTATAACGTAGAACACTTCTTCCTAGAGAATTGTAAAACATTAATAAGAAAAAGTTTTTCTAGTTCTAGAACAAAAATGTGTTTAAACATAGATGCCTCGGCACAATGTTGTTTCACTAAATCACTTTGATAGATTTTTCTAATCTATATTAAAATATGAAATTTAATATACGCATTCTTGGAAGGTTGACATATAATGTAGTATTCAAAAAATTTAATTTTCAGAAATTTGTAACAGATTTTTGATGATCTAAATTACTCCTGTCATAACCTTCGAGATTATAATTTTTTTTTTATAAATAAACAAACTTATCGATTTCTTGAAAAGACTGTTAGAATATTTACACTCAAACAAGTGTTATCAAAACTGGTCACTTTAATTCACTTATAACTTTGAAAATACATGCAAGTTAAATTAATAAAACGTTTTTTTGGTTGGGCGGAACCTCCTTTATCGAACCGCTAAGCAAGAAATCCAACTTAAATTACCATGTAACTAATACAATTTATTTGATTTTTATTTTAATAATTAATCTAATGGAAGTAATGCATATTTATGGCAAGCAGAATAGTTTTATTGACTGAGCATTTATAGAAAATATATAATTATAAGGCTGTCATGGCATTTCAAATAGCTCCTATATTATGTACACGTAACAAAAGGTTTGTGTATAAGAGTACATTATTGAACACATAGATATAAATTAAAATACGATATTTCACAAAATGTCTCAAATTCCTCTTCCATCGGAATGATTATTTACTAAATCTGAAAAAACGTCTTTGCGAAGGCTATTAATTTTCTTCTGAATCTCTTCCATAGTAATATACACGTCGTCAATCTGTTCGCGAACATTGTTAACGAAATTGTTATGACCTGTACCTCTGTCCGGATTTTCTTGTACCTCCAAACTTCTTGGCAACTTCAAATATTCTGTGGAATCGAGCTCGCTAACATCCTCATCGAATTCATGTTCCATAGGATCAAAATCAGTATCTGTTTGAAGTGAGTACAATGCTTCCGATATATCGATGTTTACTTGCCAATCGCTATTCACTTTTCGTCGTGGGGTCGAGGTATATGCTGCGTTTCCGATCGCTGCAGTGTCTGCCAGACTCGTATTACTTGTTTTGCGAGTGGACATCGACGATTCCGTTTTTTTCTTCTGCTCGACTGTCATTGTACGATCGCAGGATTGCTCTTTTACTCTTTCTATTTCTGGTTCAACCATCGTGATAGAAGTATGTCTCTTGTTAATATTCATTTGCTCGTTGCACTCAGTAGGCATTGTGCAATCGCTTGTTTGCCTTATCACTGTGTCATTCACAGAATCAATCCCCGAAATAGTATGTCGTCCGTTAGTGTTTGTTTGATTGGTGGGGCAATTAGTTTGTTGCATCATTTGAAAGTATTCTTCGATTTTCTTAGCGTACTGCTGGATTTTCGCGAGAATGGTAATCAGACGGGGATTCGTGCTATCCAATATGGTGATGACGTGTTCCTGAGTCTGAGTGGATACAGTGCAGTTCGCACTGCCAGTTTCTATTACCGAGTGCTTGACGTTTCGTTGCAGGCCTGCGTACGCTTTCTCGTGCACTATAAGTTCTTTGTCGTCGTAAGCTTCATTTTCTTCATTATTCTTTTCAATTTCAATTGCATCTCCGCTGTCATGTCCGCAGCTTGTACTTTGTTTTTTCTTCTCGTTCATAAGTTTGTTCATTAAATTCACAATGTCGGCGACCCACTGAGGAGTGATTGCATTTTGATTTCTCATCCAAACGCAACACTTGCAAGCTTCGACATTCATGGTACTCTTCGTTTTACGGCAATCGTTCTGTGTATCCTTAATTTTCTTACTGTCAACGGCCTTACAATCAACAGTATCATCCTTAGTTTTTCTCGAACAAAGATAAATACTACTCTTATTTTGACAACTGGCTGGCGCTTCGACCTTGACTTTACGCGACGATTTCTCTTTAAGCATATTAGTACTCTCTACAACTTTGCAACAGCATTTTTTATCGACTGGCAAAGACGTCAGATTCATCTCGTGACAGGATGCTCTATTGGCAACGTTGTGCTGCACGCTCGGACTTTTTGGACGATGACAAACGTGGCTAGATCTGCATATGGGGAAAGGTGCATTTAGTTGAGACAGTCAGATGTGCAGTGTTTAGATGACGTTTACATTCAAGTCAACGTTATAACTTTCTGGGGATGAGTTGAGTGATCTGCAAGCAGAAAATTATCGAAAAAGAAAATTTTAGCCCTGTGTTTCATCTGAACATTGAAATTTTGATTGAAAGCATTAGCGCTGTTATTCCGTTAAGCAGGACGATTACCACAATGACAGTTAAGTTCACGAAAACATCAAACGCTTGCAAATCGTACACACATCGATAAGAATTTTGAGACGGAAGCTCTACCTGACTCCTTTTTTCAATTGTAGCTGTTCTGCTGCACATCGGCAGATTTTCGTCCCTGGATTCGTCGTCGCGTTTTGACAATGGTTTGCTTTACTACCACTGTGCTCACTGTTTAGACATGCTATGATACAATTACTTCAGAGGATTAGATAACTTACTAAATACTCGATCTATTTGCAACATTGTGCTAATCTTCGAAAAGATCTATTTGTAACATTGTGCTAATCTTCAGAATTAAAAAAATATGGCATTACCTATGCGCCTCCTCTTGTATCCGAACTCTCTCGTATCTCTCGTTAGTGACTTGTCTCCGCAGCTCGCTGATCTGCTTGCTGTATTCCGCAGCTTCTCTCTGGTATTTTCGAAGTTCCGATGTTTCTTTACTCCTGGAATGCAAAATAGATTATAAGTATTACTTTGTCGAAGGGCCATCAGGGGAATGCATGAATTACAATTTGTTCTGCAGATCGCAGATCTTTTGCTTCAGTGCCAGCACTTCTTTCTCCATTTCGCGGCTATCTTGTTGGGCGTTAATCGTTTCTCTTCTCGCTTCCTCCAGGAGTTTCTCGAGTCGGTCCATGGTCTTGTGGTCGGAGTGCATTTGTTCCTGGAAGATGTCCTGCTCCGATTTGTACCTCGTTAGTTGCATCTCAAGCTACAAAATTTAAAATTGAAACGACGTTGGGAAGAAAATCAAAATTACTCATGCGCCGTTGCCTGGCTACTAACGACCTCTATCCATGCGATCTACCTTATCGTCTGCATTTCAAGATGTTATCTTTCACAGTACATAAGTCAATTTGAGCGTTTTATAATCGATTCGATATAGATATCCCGACGTCAACTTTCAATGCGGATATTGTTTCATAAAATGTTTTTACTTGAATCTTTGCCAAAAATTTTAAAATCAAATTTTAAGATCGAAAAAGATGTCGATATAACAAAGCGAGAGTATCAATGAAACTTACTTACAAAAATTAATTATGCAAACGCACAATCGCAAAGAACGAAAAACATTTTTAACTGACGATTTCGAAAAATGTGTATAACTCGCTCGACGGAAAAAAAGGAAAAAAGGAAAAAAGAAAAAAAAAAAAAAACTATAACATCGTAAAACAAACGAGGAGCGGAACTCGTAAAAGAAAAAAATTTCCACCGCAAAAGAGTGCGATCGCCTGCAATTTCGGCGAATACCGATGACGCAACGAACGCCCGCGGCAAGGACACGCGGCAAAATACGGATACAGAAATGGAGCGACGCGTTACGTAAGGACCTTCGTTTTATCGGCGATCGCCTCTTCCAGCTTGTCGGCCAGGCATTTCTTTTGGTGTTCCAGCGTCATGCACAAGTCCCGAAGCGTGTCCACTTCGTGCTTCGAGTCGTTCTCTATTCCGCTCTTCTGCTGCAATTTTATTTCTAGGGTCGCCACGTTCTGCGTTAACTCGGTTATCTGCAATTGTTCCGAATAAATTTTTATTTTTATTTTTATTATTATTGCTATTCTTTTAATAATTTACACAATGTGCAAATACATATTCCCGACGTTGAATTTTTATAACGAACTCGTTTTCTCTTCGAAAGCCTTTACTTCATGAAACTTGATATTCATATTGAAGCATTGAAATCTCTCAATATATTCGATAAGTTGCGCATCGTTGCAATGGAAGTACAAGAATTTTGTAAATCGACATGAAAATTTTGCCGTAAAGTGTATTAATAACGTTGACCAAGCACCCCAAGTAATTTCATACGAAGCAAATTGAAAAAGTATTTAAGCAGACTATGAAAGTTTTAATAAATCATTTCGTAGAAGTGCAATCGAAAGGAAAAATGGTAAATGATCAGCCCGAGTAGTTTACTCGCAATAAAAGCTTGCAGATAAGACGAGCAACGTGGCACAATTGAAAGTGGTCAAAGAAACTCGTAATTTATTACAAAGACTCGTCATTACGTACACCAATGCAATCCAGTAGCTGACAAAACAAGAAGGACGACTGGTAACGAGCTTGATTTTGTCACCAAAACACGTCGGTCCGACAGATAGTAGCGAAACAAAAAGCGAGCACGCGACAAGGAAAAAAGAACAGAGAAAGATCCAAGGTGAAAGTGCTCCCGTGGCGGTAGCGCGTACCTGCGCCTCGTAGCCCCGTACGAGGCAGTCCTTGTCAGCAAGCTGCCTCTCGAGGTCAGCGATGAGATCGCGGGCCGAGCTCAGAGATGCCCTCGCCTCGGCGGCCTCGGTTTCCAGGCTGTGGTTGTTGTTCTCCAGCATCGTCGCCTCCAGGCTCAAGCTGCGGAAGTGCTCCAGCATCTCCGTGCGCTCGTTCTCCTGCGACGACGAGAAACAACACGGGACTCGATGGTTTATCCGATGGAAAGTCTCGCGGTGAAATTCGCCTGTCCTCGGTGGCGCGGATTATCGGAGAGATGTCGCCTGCGCTCTTATCCGGACTGGCCAACAATTGTTTGGTGCGCGACGAGTCGCGAGGCGTACCTTCTTGCTGAGCATGTCCTCGGCGCGTCTGACTTCGGCCACGTAGGTCTGCAGCTGCCTCTTCAAGTCGTGCGACTTCGCTTTGGCGGCCTCCAGCTCTTGGCGCATGTTTCTCAGCTCGCAGCTGACGGCCGCCAGGTCGTCCTGGAGTCGTCGGTTCTCCAAAATCGCCTGGTCTCGGTCCGTCGTCGCGGAATGCAACTGTCGCTGCACGTTCTCCATGTCCAATTGCATCGAGCGCACCTGGCGTTCGGCGTCCGATGCCTGGTCGATGCATATTCTGCAAAAGCCATTTTCGCGGTGATCAGGAACAGCGAGAGACTTTCGACTTTCCATCGCTGAAAATCGATTGTGAAAAGGTCGTAAAAGCTTGGTTAGTCCGACCGCAGCTGTTGCCTTGACGGATGGACAGATCTAATCGACGCAGGGGCACACGACCGACAGCACACTCCGTTAAAAAGAAATGTCAACATCCCACCGAAACGAGCGGGCGACACGGCGGCCAGCAGTGGCCGCGAACGTGATCGATGGAAACGATGAATAAAGGATGCTCGGAGCCACCCGCGAAATCGAATGATTTATTCACAGCCCATCGCGATTGTCTATGACGAAAGCGCGCGATCGAGGACAAGGCCGGGATTACGGATTTCGTCGAACGCCAAACGCAGCGCGACCGGAGCCTCTTCCGATCCGCGATGAATGGCGCCCGAGATAACGAGCTTCGTTCGGGCTCCCTCTTTTACAAACCGCTCGTTTCTTTCTTTTTCGCGCTCCACTCTGTATTTCGCGCGCGGCACACGCGATTCCCTCGCGTAACGTCTCGCAACGCAGCGTAGCGCGCGCGCTTGCCCAACCCGGGCGAGAAACAACAAATAAAAAGAAAAGTAATAACGCGCGAAGATTCGTGGAAAGCCGCGAATCCAGCTGAAAGTGCGATTCGAGCAGTAAAGTCGACGAGGCCGATCTTATTTGTGCTCTTTCGCCTGCAAAAAAGGGAAAATCGATGGTAACGGAAGCGTCGCAGCGCGAAATTGACGAGCATCGACGGGGATTCATAACAGCGACAATTGTATAATGAGAAAAATCCCAGTTCGAGCGGAGAGCGAATTTCTAAACCGCAGCGGCGGCCGCGAGGGAAAAATTGCGAGGAAAGCAAGGCAAGTGCAACGAGAGCCGACCGCAAACGTCGAATACGAGCCGCGAGAGACGTTTGCCTTGTCTGTTATGTAAATTAAACTAAACACGGAGGTTTTTCTTTTGTTGTGAGTGGCGCGTGTTGGGATTATTGAAACTGACGCCAACGGTCATTAGGATGCTAATGTTCCCATGTGATCTTTCATTTGAGCAAGCTTATTATTCGACAATCGATTCTTTCAAGTTGAACAGAAGAAACAGCGAATATTCGAGTTTTATGAAAGAAAAACAAAGCAAAAAATGAGGGAGAGGGAATATTCGCCTGTCTTGTCGCGAGAATTAATTAAAAGAGAAAATTTCAAACAGTTTGCAATACTTTCCTCGCCACATCTTCGATTTTTACGAAAACGAAATGTGACTTTGCGATCCTTTCACGGAACCGGTCTCAAGATACGAGTCGCAAACAGCGGAGGTAAGAAACGCACCCGCGCAAAACAGACAACCCATCGTGCCCAATCGAACATTGTACGCGCGCAACTCGAGCATGATAGGCCGTCGGCGTAACTTTGCCAAAAAAAAAAAAGAAAAAAAGAAAGTCTCGTCTATCCGGCACGACAAGTAAAGCGCAGCCTAATTGCAAAAAAAAAAAGTGAATGCAAGGCTACGTGGATCTCCGGCACCCACGTAACAGTTCTCGTGGTAGCGAGGCGACGGGACGGAGGGGAAACAAAAAACACGGCTATCCGGAAGCCGGAAGAAGGTGTAGGCTTCCGCGCGCGGGAAAAGCGCGTCGAGCACACGACTACAGGCTCGCGCCGTGTGCGCACACAATACCTATCGCCGCGAGAAGGTTACGTGGTTTGCGATTGCGTAAGTCGTTATCGACGTAAAAGTATAGGCCGTTTGGCTATTTCTTTTTTTTTTGTTGCTGAAGAGAGGGAAAGAGAGAGATGATCGGTTACTGTTACCCGCTCAAGGTGCTCTATTTGCATGGAAATTGCTAGCGAGTAGATGGGTTTTGCTCTTGATGTCGATTACCGAGCTGTTTGCGTTTCTTTCCCCTCTCTTGCGCTTGTCGTATCGAATGTCGCTCGTGTCGCGATTAGTTGAGATTGCAAAAAATGCGTCACACGAGTGTGTCGAATAGTAACGTAGACCTAAAGCAACAGCATTTTACGTCCGAAACAACCTATAGATTTTCAGTTCTTCAGGTATACTTGTTTAATCGTCCTGAAACAGACAAAGAGAGAACTGGGCTTTTCTCTGCCACGCGTCGAAACTGGTCTCGCGCATAGGCCAATTTCTCCAAACACTCCGCTGAATTTGCATACTCATATACCGACATCGGGCGCATTATGCAAGAGCATCATAGTGCAAACAGTTTTTCGTCGATGAATCGATTAATCGTACGCGCGTGAGTCTTCGCAACGGCCACACGGAAAGGACGAATTAAAAAAATAACAAAAAAACAAAAAAAAGACGCGTACTTTCACTAGCACTCGCGAGGCAGCAGCATCCAAGCGCGCGAAAGTGAAAAGTGTCAGGCTGAAGCGCAATACGCCAACTCGGATGCGTCAGGTTGCATACGAAACCGTCGCCGGTGCCTTTTCCGCCTCTTTACCGCGCTTTTATTGGACTCGAGAGGCGCTCGCGATTTTTCGCGGTTCGCGCGGCCCGCGTCTCTTTGTCTCTTCGCCGCACGCCATCTGCGAACTGGCGTATGCGAGTCGCGAGCGCTTTGCTGCGGAGATCTCTCGACGATATTTTCCTCGACGGCCAATTAGTTACGGTTCAACCTTGCCGATTTAAGAAGACGGGTTACAAGCGCGGTACGGTGTCGTCATTGACGGCTCCGTTTGCAAAAACTCTAAAATGTTCTCGAATCGGGCTTGTTACTCGAAGTTATTCGGCTTGATGCAGCGTGACGATTACCGACGACAGACGTGGATTATCTTCTGAAAGTTAACTGGCAACTTTTGTTAAGCTGACGAGGAACGCGAGTTTAAACACCGTCTTCACAAGTACACTGTGGAAAAGAAAAAAAAAAGCTCGAGAGTACCGAGTAAAACGCACCTCGTCGCGTAAACGAAATCCCATAACGCGGGCGCGCCAAAAGGCGAATCGGTTTTCGCAGTCTCCGGGTTGGGTTCCTCTCTCCCGCTCTCCTCGAGCGGTGAATTACGAGACGTATAATGCACAGGCGCTCGCGCGCCCGGCGGCTGCCAATACATACTGCCGATACGTAACGCACAACGATAGAGCTCGCCTCCCGGATGTGCATTGCCCCCTAGACGCTAATTTCGGCTCGTTTTCTTTTTAGCTTTTGAATGATGTCTGGTCGCTCGACAGCTCGACAGCTTACAGTCGGCTACCTCGGCGGATCAATTGAACATTTTTCTTTTTTCGACTTTCTCACGCGCCGACCTTTCACCGCGCTCACGAGAGAAGCAAGTCAGTGCGACAAATACCAAAAAAAAAAAACTAAGAATAAAAAGGAATCAACGATGACGACGATGACGGCGATGACCGGGCATCCAGGAGAGCGCGCATTAGGCGCATCATCCTGGCAGCGATTGGCGCACAGGAAGTGCATTGCGTTCGTCGGTGTTTGCGCGCGCTCATCGATGATTTCTTCGCGAACGCACGCGTGCCGGCGTTGTTGCGCAAACAGCCGCACGGGGCTCCGAACTCGTCCTTTCACGAGCTGTCGACTTGCACTCGCTCGGACCGCTATGGCTTTGCGTTCGCGTTATCGAGTATTAGAAGCGATATATGAC